AGTAATATAATGTTCAACGTAGGCTGAAGTTGCATTGCAAATTGAGTTTTTCTTATTTTCTTTAACATAACTTAAAGAGACCAAGATTTTGTCCTGCCTGGAATTTGAATTTCGAAGCACAAAAAATGCCCTCTGTAAGTTGGTTAATGCACCATCTGATTCATGTTCTGCATCATTTATCATCAATCTTAGCTACATATAGACACAGTTGCCTGGGAAAAAATACTCTAAACATAAGGTCACATGGCCTTAGAGCAAATAACTTCAAGAACAGACTCAAAACAGTTTTGTCTTGTGAGCTACTATTACAATGAGGCTAGACACAGACTCTCCATGAGATCACATACCAGCACATAGAGTGAAGAACGAAATAACTGTACTCTAAATTGCTAATCCAAAGAGGTTTTGTGCCAAATCTCAGTTCTTTCAAATGGTGATTTAAAAAAAAAAAATCAACCAACCATAATCCAAGATTTATGTCCTTTAGTTGACAAGAGATGGATCATTCTTTATTCAAACATGCAATCCAAAATAGTTTTATCTCAATAATGTGATAGTAGTGAAGACTGTACATGCTTATACATGCTTTTAAGAGTAAGGCAAAGTAGAGGGCATCTTTACAAACTACCAATTCACTAATATGACAGAACTTGGTTGAATAGGCTCTGATATGAAAATATGACTGGCTATAGAAGGTTATAGAAAGAATAACAGTTGTGTTTATTTGGCATTGTGGTTACTTTCCTAAAGCATGATGCTCTTCAGACTAAACTTTGTCGGTATATTTATCTAGGGATCCGTTTAGGGGTTCTGTTGGGTCCACCTTTCTCTTCAAAAACGGACTAATAACGAGCATCTCGCATCCCATCTGTCCATTATTTGAGTAGACCACCATTAGAGTCAGATGGAAATTGTATTTTACTGTCAATTACATGATGGTCTGTTGCTTGAGTGATTTTGTTATGATAATTTTATATAAAATCATCAAAGTATGATTGAAATTTAAATGCAGCCACTTTAGGATCAACTTAATCTGTTTTATATGTTAATGTGGAGGATCCAGACTTGTAACTTGCTGAATGTTTTTTTTTTGTGTTAGGCTGATATACAGTACTTGACCAGATTCCAAACCCCCCCCCCCCCCCAAGCTGAGATTCCCTTACCCACAAGCACTTTAGGTTTAACTGGTTTAAAAGGAAACTGGCGGTGGAAATGACACTATATATCAAAATGTAGCAAAAGAGACATTTGTTATAGAGAGACTAATAAATAGAATTAAATAGATTTCATGGTTGTTGTGAGAGCAGACAGTGAGGGTAACCCTCGTGTGCCTTTTGCGTGTTCTTTGACGAAGAAAATGCTGAGTCATTACACAGACGTTTGGTTTATATATATATATATATATATATAACAATACTCCTGTGTAGCCTATTGTATTATCTGGAATTAGAAATTCTTTATAGCCTTACTTCAAGTTTACGCTAATATAGTTATTACAGTTTTGATTTAATGACAAAGAGTATTATAAAAGGTGTTTGAAATGATAACATTGCTGCACCAAGTACGATTGCACTTTTCTAAAATAAAGTGAGTTTAGTAGATAGGCATCATGTAAATAATTAAGTAATATTAATTTATTTGAAAAAGCTAATTTTGTCTGACGAATTTTGTCTGACTAAGCCGGTTTTCCACCGTCGGGCTGAACGGTTCTAAGAACGGTAGGGAACAGTTCCACTTGAGCTTGGTTCAGCACAGCATGATTACAAACCGTTCTCGGGGCGAAATTCTCAGCAAGGTTGGTGCTACGTGCGTGTAATGATGTGGCCACTCAGGATTGGTCACTTGTCTGTTGCCTGGCTGCCAGTTTCTCTGTAGCTAGCCAAGCACGCTATTTGAGCAAGTTTAACGCAAGTTAATAATAAAATTAAAATCTGATCATCCTCCATAACGCGGTCACTATTTAACTCTCATGCCATACCAAGGCAAGGACTAACGCATTTGTATTACATTCCAAAGAGCTGTTATCAGCCCCGCAGTGGAAAATGAAACCATATCACGGAATGGAACGGTTAAGCAACGAGAACGGTTTGACCTGACAGTGGAAACGCGGATAGACTATATTAAACTGTATGAAGGTCAGTTATTGAAAACAGTATCAATAAATTCACTGGCGTTTTATGGAGCTTATCTCGTTTAATGATGGTAAAATATTAATTCAACCTAACCTGAAATTACACCATTTACAAAAAAGGCAGGAAGAATGTATTAGCAGTCTGTCATTGGCTTATGCATTTGAAACTGAAATAGACTTAATTTGAGAAAGCTGCCCTACATATTTTACATTATGAGCCGTTTCTCTAATAGCAAAACATCAAGGCCTCATTGGTAAATGCACAATTGTTTTGTCCTTGAAAGTAGCCTTGCTTTAGAGGCAGCAGTGCCATCATCTACCATTTTCCAAAGCAAGCTCTGAAACACTGAATCTCTTACCTTAATCCAGTATATTTACAATGAGTGGATCTGATTTTAGTCTGTCTAGATTTTTTTTTTATGTAAAAGTCAGTATTTAGCATTGCAGTGGACTTCATATTGTGTTATTTGAATATAGATTTAGTTCACTCAGAAAAGTTGTCTTTAAGATGGTCAAAGTGACAGGGTCTTTGTGTACTTTAACTAACAGAACGCACAGGTTACCAGTGGTGGTCAAAGAACTCACTCATAGAGCCTCTAAAAGACAGTAGCCTTGAAAATTAAACTAGTTTATTCGTTTAATATATACAGTCTAATACCCAATCCCACTGGTGTGCACAAATGAAACCCACACTGAGACCAAAATCTTTTTTTTTTTTCCTCTTTTGCTAGAAGGATTATGTTAAAATAGGCTGAATATGTACTGTACTGTACGTCCTATGGTCTGGATATATTTTCATATTTGAAAATGTTTTATTTCAAATAACTGGCCTTAGTAACAAGTACTATATGGTCTTGTTGATTAGCTGTGATTTCTTTACACAAAAATAGTTTTGTGTTAAAGATGAATGCACTAACTTTAAATAATATTTTTGAATGTAAAAATTGCTTTGCTGGATGCTTCTTGAACAAAACAAAGAACTAGCAAAATATGCACATGGAACAGTGAACCTCAGAAAATGGGTCACCGAAAGAATCGTGGTTAGAATCGTGAATGACTCATGACAAAATATTACATGTTCAGCTATTGCTGATTTTAATACAATTACAGAACTCTCTTAAAAATAAGATTCAACAACTTTGGTTTGCAGAGGGCTACCAACTACACACTGAACACTGAATACACTACAGACGTAAGGTTTCCTCCTTTACAATGACTTGAAATGCCAAAATAGAAATCAAAACAAATGGCGTAACCTGTACATATAAATCAATATAGCTGACGTGGTCATTTATGTGAAACGCTTTCTTTTCAGGAAGTTCTATGGTTATTGTAATTCTAATTTCCTAAAGGTAAAAAAAGACTGCAAAGTTAAAGTACCTCTACAAATCTCTATTAGTTCAATTTCATTCCACATCATCATGTGATGGATTCATTTGGCCATATGTCATGCATACGTATCCATCTTTGCATGTGACCTTATTAGTTATACTCCTGAATGTAATCGTTTAATGATCAGAAATTAAAACAAAACTATTTTAAGAAGATATATTTGAAGCTAACTGTCTTTATGGTACTGAAATATGCATATATTAATGGGCTTGGCTTCTGTTTACCCTAAGATGTTGTCGAGAAGATGCTGTGATATTTCCTCGTTCTTTGGCGCTATATGAATCTTAGTTCTCTTCTTCTTTAGTGCAATATTCAACATTTTGTCTTTAAAATCTCAATGCAAAAGTAGATTTCTGCTGATTTGCTGTAAAGGGAACCATCCTGGTGATCATCAATAAAAAAACATAAAAATTTGGGAAAGTCTTTCTGTGTGGTTCGTTTTGTTATTTTATTTTCCACTGACACTTAACTTGTCAGACTGTTGACTTAAAAAACACTGCATGAAAAGAGGTGTATATGGACCAGTATAACCACTGTAGAATTTTGGACAAAACTGGGAGTATTACTGACCAGATATGGGAAATACCACAGGTCCGTGCCGAAATGATACCAATTCGGATGTACAGTATATTGAGGTATTCTTCCATGCGACAGCCATTTATTGCCATGGCAAGTAATCCCCTTAAAGCCGGGTTCACACTGTACGATTTGGCTGTTTGAGACAAATGTTTAAAATCCTAAAAGGTTCCTCTGATCCTAGGACAAAATCTGAAGTCTTTGATCACTAGTTTGACATGTTCGCCGACAGCCGATTAATGACCTTTGCGATCAAATTTGACCTCCAACGAAATTCTGCCAGTGTCCGAAGATTTGACTCACAGTCCTGGTTTGTGGCTTCTCCTACGACGATCACACATGTAATGCAGCTCACAGTCACCGAACGTCACGGACTGATGATGTAAAACTTCGGACGAGTCTGTTTTTAACGCGTCTTGACTGTTGTACAGTCTGACATGAATGGCAACTGAGATCCTACAGTGTGGCATGGCTTACAGAGGTATTCATGTTCATACAGTCTGACAAGCAACAGTCGTAAAAAAAAGGACTATTATAAATCGTACAGAGTGCACCTGGCTTAAGGCATTTTTTCAGAGGAAATTCACACCTTTGTGCCACCCTCCCTTTTTGGTCGTTCATGTTAATGGCTTGGTTGCTTTGAGACTAAACCCACCCCCAAACCAGCACACAGACGGTCCTCAAAAATCATTTCAATTTTAAACTTGAAATCTATCCCACCCAAAACCCTTAAAACAAAGTGACTTGGTTGGTTACATTTAAAATATATCCCTCCCAAAACCCTTACAGCTGGGTGATGGCCCAACCTATGCAATACAACATCTACTTTCAGTCAAAGATTTCAAACAAAAGCAGTAAATAACACATGAAATGATGTGTACCTGCAGATTCCATTCCTCACTGTAGCTCCTGCATGCATCCATTAACAACATCTTCCTCATCCTATATTGAGCTCCCCCATTTCTGTCCTTCACAATGCTCTTTCTGTGTTTGTCTCGGTTGACCTCGTCTCCTGCAACTGCAAAATAACAGTAATGTAACAACCGAAAACACTCACTACAAATTAATAACAGCATACCTATTTAAAAAGTTACATCAAGTGTTTTATCAGTTTCTAAACTTACTGTTGTCTCTCTTCTGCCTTTTTTGACTGTTTCAGCTGGGCCTTACTGGGATGAAACTATGAAAACTTCTTCCTCAGCCTCACTATAAATATATAAGGGAGGCAGGATACATAAGACATTAAATATATGGTTAGTAAAGAGAAAATATTTAATTGGATAGATAAAAAACAATATAAAAAATGGATATTAAAAGATTGCAACAACCTTCTGAATGTTACTTTTTATAATCTCAGAAGATGACCCTGGGAAACTGGAAAAGAGGAACCAATATCTGAGGATATATATATAGTTTTGACATTAAATAAATTAGTTTTACATAATATAGATAATCAGTCATACTTGGTTTGTGCTTGATGTTGAAGTGGATTCTTCTCAGAACTGTGCAGGCTTGTGTTTCAGTCTGTAGCTTTGGCTGAAATGGTTCCTCAAGAAGTCTGCCAGGTTTCGCTAGAGAAATAAGCAACCTGGTCTCAAACAACGAGCCCAAAATATGCAAACTGATCCGGCAATTTAAAACAAACAAAAAAACCTAAGTGACCCCTGGTTTTGGGGGGTGGGTAGCAGATCACCAGCCGCTGTGCCTTCAACTGACGGATGCACAGAACAACAGATAAACGCTTTCTCTCGTGCATTCAGATGGGCAATTAAAGCAATCTGCAAATAGATGTAGTGTATCTATAAATGTTTACAGTGAAAAAGAAATTACTGGCTTCTTTGATGTCATTGACAAATTATCAGAACAAAATAACTTTTTTAATTACTTACGGTATTTAAAAATAACAATTTCACTCTGGAATGATTGAAAGGGATTTTGTTCCAGTTTTCTGTTATGTTCTGCCAAAATGTTAGTTTTCATTCCTTGTTTCAAGGACCAAATGACATGGCATTGCAAAATGTATTCTAACATTAGGGGAACATTATTTTAAAGTTAGGGGAATATTAAAATAACGTTAGGGGAACGTTAAAGTAACGTTATAATATCGTTAGGGGAACATTAGAATAACGTTATAGCACCATCAAAATAATGTTACAGCAACGTTAAAATAACATTAGGGGAACATTAAAATAACGTTAGAATAATGTTAAAGTAACTGTTAGGCCTACATTCCCCGAACTGTCTCGGGAACAAAGGAAAAAGCGTTAAAAAAAAATAAAAAATAAAAAAGGGGCAGGCGAGAACACACTTCAATCCTCCGTCCCAGAGTGAAGACGACATTTATATACATCAAAGAAAGGATTTTATTTACAACAACAACAACAAAAAAAGACCCCCAAAAAAGGACAGAACATTGGTTAGCCTACTAGGGAGCAATGGCTCAGGAGAGAGCAAGGCCTAAAATAACGAACAAAACAGCCCACTAACTAATTTTGGGAAGAGTCCTAACTAACCTAAGAAAGGTTAAACAAAAAGAAATAAACAACATAAACTTCCCTCAACTCCCTTGCTATACAAAAACAGGGAAACAAAACAGTATTTAAAGAAAAAGGCACTCACAGCTTCCCTCACAATAGTAACCATTAAACAGGTTAACAGGAACACAATACCTTCTGTTTAATTTTTAGTTGAAGTGAGATCAAGATCACTTAACACGGGTCACTGCTAAACTCAGTTAGCCACCGCTAATTCACAAATAACGTTAACGTTACTGTTTTTAAATGTCAGATGCAAACAGATTTTTTCAACAGATCTCATCTGGAGCAGGGGAGAAGTGTGTTTCTCTTACGAGAGTATCTCTCGTACTGCGTAATAGCTTACGCTGGGGAAAACCTCTTTTCCACGAGATATTGAAGCCAAAAATTATCCTTAATTTTTTATTAATGTAAAACGCTTTGCAGCAGCAAGCAGACACAGGCGATACAGCTCGCGCGCCTATTGGCTGCTCTTGCGGCAAATGCAGCAGCCTATCGAGAGAGACTCTGCGTGGCGTAATGACCAATGGGGGCAACTCGCGCCCATATCGTCACGTCCCGCCTGAAAGGGCGTGGTCTCACTCTATAAATATGCTCGTTAGGCTGGTACAAGCTGATTTTCATCTCTTCAGCGAAGCACACGCATCGCTGGATCCGGAGTGAGAAGCCGCGCCGTCGAAGCAAGCTTTTCAGCGGGACGAGCTCTGGAGTCGCTGGCCTCGCCGCCTTCAACTGCCGTACCTGCTGCGCTTTCCGGCGTTCTATATCCTTTTATATCACTTTGTATCCTTACTCTGCTGAGAGTGTTTGCTCGCTTACTTGACGCGACTCACACTTCTCATCACAAAAGAGCTGCGTCTTTTTAAAGATGCCATCCTGTGGCTCGTGCCGCGCCCCACTCAGCGACGGGGACCGTCACGTCATCTGTGTGTCCTGCCTGGGTGAGGATCACGCGGCCATCGCACTCGCTGACGGCGGATGCCCTCATTGCGAGCTTTTTGCCTATGGTGACTCTGAGGACTCGCCTGGCATCATTCTCCGAGCCTTCACCACAGCCCGCCGTGGTGCCGCGCCGCAAGAAGCGCCGCGCCCAGCGCGCTCCCGAGCTCTCTCCAGCCCGCCAAAGCTCGCCGGTTCGCCCGCCAGCTTCGCCGGCTTCGCTCGAGTCGCTCACTGACGGACAACGGCCGCCGCCTGCCGCCGCGTCCATCCACGAGTTCGACGAACCCACCGAGGCTTGTTCTCTTCTGGCATCTGATAGCGAGGATTGGGCGAGCTCCGTGGACCTCCCCTCCGCTAGCGTTTCCCGCCAAACCACTGGTAAGAGAGCCGGCATTGAGACTGAGCTGATGCGTCTGCTCTCTCAGGCCGTGGAAAGCATCGGCCTCGACTGGGAGGCGCCCGCGCAACAGCGCGTCGTCAGGGAAACGGGCCAGCGAGTCGTCAGGGAAACGGGCCAGCATCAAGACCGCGAGCCCTAAAACCGCGGCTAGCTTTCTTTACGTTATAAGAAATCTACCCCGCCCCCCATCGGCGTGCGTCACCGGCAAATGAGAAAAGAGTGTGTTTTAGTCCCCGCCGAGGCCGGACTAATCTTTATTTCTCAAACATTTCTCAGCTCCTAGTTTGAGCGGCTGAAAATGTCATTATTGCAGCAATGAGCCTGTTGTATAACACGCACACCTGCATACAAACGCATACAAACTCTTATCTGCTTGTGGTAATGTAGTTCTCCCTGTGGTCCAGTGGCAGAACCCGAAGCCTTCGCGCGAGAGACCCGTGTTCGATCCCGGCTCTTGCAGCAGATAAAAATTTAGTCTCGCCGCGGCCAGACTTCCACCGAAACTTTTCGCTCGTTCAGTTCCAGAAAATGCGACTGTTCCAGTGTATTTTGCAGTAAACAAGCTGGTACCACGGCCCGCTTGCCTGCACATAAAGGCCGTTTCCACGGCGACCCAGAAAAATCATGTAATCATTGTATTTCTGGTTTTCCGGCCACAGCCGATGGTGTTATAAGTGTAATAAAATGCTCACAGCCCAATGTTCATTTCTACACACAAACACAGCCCGCCACGGTACAGGGCTCGCACAAATGAAATCGACGCATGTCAATTGTGCATTAAATGTAGTGAATGTGCCCACAACCCAGTGCCCACAAACACTACCACGGTTTCTGTAAAACGAAACCAACACAAGTCTTCCTAGCCTCCTAGGAAATCGACGGTGTTTCAGTCTCGCCGTGGCCAGACTTCCACTGAAATTTTCGCTCGTTCAGTTCCAGAAAATGTGACTGTTCCAGTGTATTTTGCAGTAAGCAAGCCAGTACCATGCCCGCTTGCCTGCACACAAATGCTGTTCCCACGGCGACCCAGATAAATCACATAAACGGTGTATTTTCTGGTATTCCGGCCACAGCCGATGGTGTTATGAGTGTATTGAAAATGCCCACAACCCAGGGCTCATTTCTACACACAAACACAGCCCGCAAAAATGCAGGGCTCGCACAAACAAAATCGCCTCATGTCGATTGTGCACTAAATGTAGTGAATGTGCCTACGTCTCAGTGCCCACAAACACTACACACCACATGTCCCACGGGTTCTGTAAAAACGAAACCAACACGCATTCAGTCAGCTCAGGCCGACGGTGTTTTTCAGTGCAGTAAATGTGCCCGCTGTCCTGCGCCCACATTCACTCACAGACATGTTAAGCCCCACGGGGCTCGCCCCGCTCTCTCTCCCTCAGCAAACTGCTATAAGGGTTTTGAGCGCGGCCAGGCTGCCCGCCGCGATCGGCGCGCCCCCCGCCTCACACACTGTAAACACAGTGTCTGCGTTACAGCACGCCGGAGCTTCCTTTGCTGTCACTATGTCTCGGCCAGAGCCCAGATCTCATTCTACCCCTAGCTATTCACGCGAAAGTGTGGGCACAGCTTCCTGGGGTATCAGAATGGGTGCTGAACACTATAAAAAGAGGCTATTCGTTACAGTTCGCTACAGTTCGCTACAGTTCGTTACAGACGACGGTGAAAAATGAAGTATCTCATCTACTTCGAGCCGAGATAGCAAAACTACTGAGCAAAGGTGCTATAGAACCTTTATCTCAAGCTCAGAGCAAAGGGGGCCTACACAGCAGATATTTTCTGGTACCGAAAAAAGATGGAGGTCTCAGACCCATTTTAGATCTGCGACAGCTGAACAGAGCGCTTGTGAACGCCAGTTCAGAATGCTTACGACCAGGAAAATCCTCGCGCAAGTGCGCCACGGGGACTGGTTTATGTCAATAGATCTGAAAGACGCCTATTTCCAACTACAAATAGCGTCCCATCACAGGCGATTCTTGAGATTCGCTTTCGAGGGCCAGGCATTTTAATACACAGTCCTGCCGTTCGGCCTGTCCCTAGCACCTCGTACATTCACGAAGTGCATGGACGCGGCGCTCGCACCCCTGAGACGTCAGGGCATGCGAGTCCTGAACTACTTGGACGATTGGCTGATTCTAGCTCGATCACGATCGGAGCTCATAGAACACAGGGCCGCATTACTCGAGCACCTCGAGGAGCTGGGCCTCACAGTCAATTGGGCGAGGAGCTCACTGTCTCCCAGTCAGAAAATTTCCTTTCTGGGAACAGTGTTAGACTCGCTATCCATGACGGCACGCCTGTCACCAGAGCGCGGACTAAATATTCAGTGCGTCGCGAAATCCTTCCGCCACGGCTCGATAGTTCCGCTCAAAAGGTTTCAGAAAATGCTGGGGCTGATGGCCTCAGCGGCCTCTGTACTCCAGTTGGGCTTGCGTCGCATGCGCCCACTGCAGATGTGGCTGAAAGCGCGGGTTCCACCCAGGGCATGGACAGCGGGTCTGTTTCGCCTCAGGGTCGACCTACAGTGTGTTTCAGCTCTGGAACCTTAGAAAATAACCGACTGGTATCAGTCAGGTGTGAGTCTGGGGACCGCTTCGAGTGTGAAGGTGGTGTCTACGGACGCCTCCACCTCGGGGTGGGGAGCGCTGCTCGAGGGCAGACCGCTAGCTGGCCTGTGGTCAGAACGGGAAAAGCTCCTTCACATAAACTGCTTGGAGATGATAGCAGTCGACAAAGCGCTACGGCGTTTTTGTCCCCAGGTAACAGGCCACCACGTCTTGGTCCAGTCGGACAACATGTCAGTGGTGGCATACATAAATCGCCAGGGCGGCGTCAGGTCACGAAACCTTCACAGGCTGACGGAACGCCTCCTGGTCTGGGCTCAGCACAACCTGCTCTCACTGAGAGCAGCGCACGTGCCTGGTCACCTGAATGTGGGACCAGACAGACTGTCCAGGAACAATGTTCCAGCAGGGGAATGGTCGCTGCACCCGCAGACGATCCAGCTGCTGTGGAAAACGTTCGGCAGAGCACAGGTGGACCTATTCGCGTCCCACGAAAATGCTCATTGCCCGAAGTTTTTCTCGAAAAGCAAGGACGCGCTGGCTCATGTTTGGCCCCGCTGCCCCCTATATGCTTTTCTTCCTGTCTCGCTCCTGCCTCAGGTGTTGGAACGAATCAGGGAAAACGGATGCCCAGTGCTGCTCGTAGCTCCGCTCTGGACAAACCAGACGTGGTTCCCTGCCCTGATGCAGCTGACCAGCACTGCCCCATGGCCTGTACCATTGAGGAGAGACCTCCTCTCTCAGGCGGAGGGCTCGATTTGGCACCCTCGCCCGGAGCTGTGGTCCCTGCACGCATGGGCCATCAACGGGTACCCACTAGCCTCCCAGAAGGAGTATTAAACACGATCGCGCAGGCTAGAGCTCCGTCTACCAGGCGGCTCTACTCCTCGAAATGGTCTGTTTTCTCTGCATGGTGTCAAGCCCAGAGTTTTTCACCTGTGGAATGCGGGGTTTCGGAAGTGCTTTCCTTCCTTCAAGAGCTACTGGATAAGGGCAGGACCCCATCCACGCTCAAAGTATATGTGGCGGCCATAGCAACGTTTGCAAAACCGGTGTCTGGCCAGTCGCTGGGGAATAACGACTTAGTCGTGCGTTTCCTTAGGGGAGCTCGGAGGCTAAACCCTCCCAGGCCCCCTTCAGTCCCGACGTGGGACCTTTCCACGGTCCTGGAGGCCATGAAAGGCGCCCCGTTCGAGCCAATCCAGCTGGTGGACATGAAACACCTGTCGTTCAAAACAGTGTTTCTCATGGCTCTCGCTTCAGTGAAGCGCATAAGGGACTTACAGGCGCTTTCAGTAAGCGCGTCATGTATGGAGTTTGGGCCTAATGACTCGAAGGTCATTCTCAAACCTAAGCACGGGTATGTGCCGAAATCCCTCAATACACCGTTTAGGGCTCAGGTAATTTCCCTGTCCGCCCTTCCGGTTCTCAATGAGGAGGAGGACGCGAGTCTCCTTTGCCCCGTCAGGGCATTAAGAGCTTATGTGTCACGCTCGTCTGTTTTCAGACAGACTGAGCAGCTTTTCGTTTTGTTTGGCGGGCGCTCCAAGGGACTTGCCGCCTCAAAACAGAGCCTATCCAGATGGATAGTGGATGCCATTGCGCTCACTTACACTGCAAAGGGCCTGCAGTGCCCCTTGGGTGTCAGAGCGCACTCCACGAGAGGCGTGGCCTCTTCGTGGGCATGGTCTAGCGGGGTTTCCCTGCAAGATATCTGTACGGACGCGGGCTGGGCCTCGCCGTCTACATTTATGAAATACTATAACCTGGAGGTACCCGCCTTACAAGCTAAGCTTTTGGCGGTCAAAAAAATTCAGTGCTATCTGCCCCGCTGTGCGGCCCAGATGCTGAGTTTACTGGAGCCCCATGAGTGTTGACACACGTATGGCCACCCAGATCAGGCTGAAAGCTTTCACCCTGGCTGCGCGTTTTATTGTCATATGATAGCCCCGCTGGGTGCTATTTTATAAGGAATGACTCTTCCAGCCTCTCTTCCTCCACTCTATGTGAGTTTATGGTGATTATGCACTATATGAGCCCTGGGCTTCGGCCCCTGGGACTTTGGTGTTGGATCCCTGTACGCACGGCGTGTTGCATTGTGTTCCCCTAGCGTAAGCTATTACGCAGTACGAGAGATACTCTCGTAAGAGAACGTACTCGGTTACTAACGTAACCTCGGTTCTCTCTAGAGAGGGAACGAGTACTGCGTATCTTGCCGTGCTTGGAATACGCTCTGGTTCGCTTCGGCGATGAAAACCAGCTTGTACCAGCCTAACGAGCATATTTATAAAGTGAGACCACGCCCTTTCTGGCGGGACGTGACGATATGGGCGCGAGTTGCCCCCATTGGTCATTACGTCACGCAGAGTCTCTCTCGATAGGCTGCTGCATTTGCCGCAAGAGCAGCCAATAGGCGCGCGAGCTGTATCGCCTGTGTCTGCTTGCTGCTGCAAAGCGTTTTACATTAATAAAAAATTAAGGATAATTTTTGGCTTCAATATCTCGTGGAAAAGAGGTTTTCCCCAGCGTAAGCTATTACGCAGTACTCGTTCCCTCTCTAGAGAGAACCGAGGTTACGTTAGTAACCGAGTACGGTCTCACTGCTGCAAACACTGGACTGCCCCATCTCAGACACACTCGACATAAACGAGTTACAGGTGCATGGTTAAAAATTGGACATGAACCACACCCTCTCAAGTCGAATTTACCACTGGGAACTTGATCATTTTGATAACTTAGTCAAGTTACCGAGTTGGACGGGCCATAAACTTTAAACATGGCGAGAACGATAGCTGGCTGTAACCGCTATTCTTTATTAGTTTGTTGATGTCAAAGAACAGGACGCTAAGTTACATATAATTTTCGCTGTAATAAGATTTTCCAAAAAATAACGAATAAAGGTGTCCTCCGTGATTCATGTTCCTTCCGACAACAAAGCACATGAATTCGACGAGCTCGTATTAATCACGTTAGAAAATTTCCGATAACACCTGAAGGCAGCATTCAACAGTTTCTCCTCCTCTCTCTTAACAAGGACATTACCTCATACTAATATACTAACTGAACATTCACAGCTCTTCCAAAATCTCTTGGCAGGAGCTGAAGTGGTTGTAAGCCTCTCAGTCTCCGGGAACCGGCCGATGACACACTTCTTAATTCGCGAGCTCACCGTCGCCGAGTATTGGACTCGAGCTGTTGCTATGACGATTACCAGCAGGCCAGATTTTAGAGCAGAGAGGTGGGAGCAATTTATGATATTGTCTTTCAAACCTGATTAATAGCCTCGATAACCTGTCAGAATTTATATCACACATACATTGTTAACGTTATATGAATTATGCAGCTACTATGCAATTCAAACTAGGCAAAGTCAATACGCATGATATAAATCACTTCAAAGACCCGATCTGAATTTTATTTCACTATTCCACTCCATCAGGTCCCTCTGGGAAAACATACTCTGGACGTTTACCATATGTCCCCACATGAATGAAAATGAGCTAACAGTAGCACAGTATGACTTCATCTTTAGCTCCCAGGTTGCCTGTGATGACTTCTCACACACACTTTACTTTGCAGTCTCACAGTTGAAGTCAATAAGCAGATGAGAATCCGTCCCTATAGCAACACAGCAGCACAGCTGAGGGCAAAGCATGAGTCATCATTATTGTTTTGCTTCACTCTCTTTGAGACACACCACAGATTGAATTTTAAAACTGCATTAGGTCTGAGAGACCAACAAATCATTTTCAGGTACAAGTCAATGGTTCGGTAAACTCTGAAGCACCCGTGCCTTTCATTCATTAAACATAATACCACACACAAATATACATTACAGCAATTTTATTAAGTAATACAATTCTCTAAAATTAAATATACTTATTTAAACTTACAGCGTAAACACAACAGCAGATTGCAAACAGCTGAACATTCTCGAAAGTCTATTGCAGCTCATTGGGCACACATTTATTCATTCCCAAACAATACCTTTTGCATTTCATAGAATAAAAATACAGCAATTTTCTTTTAAATCTGAAAATAAATCATAATCAAACATCTAAAAAAAAAATCATAAAATAATTCTAATATACACAAACCAAAGAACAGTGGTAGAATTACATTTACTCGACTGGTATTAAATATTCATATTTCGTGTGGTCTTATTGGTCTATTTGCTCCTTTGGGTATTTATTCGAGTTGCATTATTCTGTGCCGTGTAATTACATTGGTGTGGGGTGACAAAAAAAGAAGCACAGACAATTACCATTGTCTGTAATGTCTGTCTCTCTGCCACTGAATCTGGGATCATAATTACTATCTGACTCCAACGGAAGAGCTAATTACTGGTTCCAGAGCTGTATTTGCTGACAGATCAAACTATCAGCTGATGAATCGCGGCCAAAATGGCTCTCTATTGTTCAGGCAGAAGTGCAGATAGTACGATATTAGCAGCTTACAAGTTATAACTAGGACCATATCAATCTTAAAGTCGATCTTTCTGCAAAACTGATCAAAAGTGTTTCCAAGACATCTACTCGTTGAATCCAAAGTTGGATGAAGACTCTGCTACAGATGGAGACGATGGCCCAGAGCTGGATACCGTACTGGAAGGCTCACCGGTGTCTGCACACACAAACATACACAGAGTTAGAGGTCCGTTGCATGAAAGGGATTTTCAACAAACATCTTAACCGTCACTCTTACCTATAAGTGTTTATACTAAGCAGTTCACAATAGTTTCTAGCAAAACACGGCAATGAAGCAGAAGCAGTTGCTATATGTACGATATCTCCCACAATAAACTGAACATATGGACCACTGACTTTTAAACAAGTTTAACATTTACGTAACTAAGCAGCTGTACTACAATATTTGAGTTAGGAAGATTTTTAATGGGGACTGACGGATGATAGAGCATCCTAAAGTCCGAGCACACTGTTTCTATGAGTGTACACAGGATACCTTTATATTTGTCAAACGCATAGTTTTTGTACTCACGCATCAACGCCACTGTTCCTGTATGGTGATTAGATTCACTGATTTTGCCACCCTGAACTTAAGCACGAAAGTACAGAATGATGCATCCTGTGTTCGGTGCCTAGTCCTGTGTGCTAACCGGCTTTACAGTACTGGAAGTAAGAAATCTAAACCAAACTGGTCCAAAGACAAAAAATCTATTATTTTAGGGGGCAGGGGAAAACACCCAAGCCGGCCGCAATAAACAGTTGCTTTTTACAGAATTTTTTATTTGTAGTTTTTGTCTTTTGAAGAAAATATCCTTTAAATGTATTCGTGTCGTATCATATTAATTAATTTTAATACATTTTTCTTTTGAATAAAATGACGCATAATTTTAATCGAAAAACATATTTTAGACCGAAAGATTAAAATATATATTTATACACTTCTATTGAAAAGTTTGGGGTTGTGCTCTTATGCTCATCAAGGCTGCATTTATTTGATAAAAAATACAGTAAAACAGTAACAACAACAAAAATTAAAATCCTTTTTGCAATTCCACTTGGTACTGCTAATGTCACAGTAATTTACACTTCACCTTTAATTGGGTCATATGATGTCATTTTAAAAGTTCTTTATTTTCATTATAGAATGTTAACATGCTTTAAATGTAAAAAAACAAAACCCATTATTTGTCATATACTGTATTTTATTGCAGCTCCTCTATTCCCAGTCTGTCCGAAACACTCTGATTTCTACAAAGCCCCTCCTTCTGAAAAGCTCAGAGTGCTCTGATTGGCCAGCTGACCCAATGCATTGTGATTGGCCAAACACCTCAAGCATGTGTCGGAAATGTAACAATCCTCACCTTAAGTCAAACACAGCGTATCCGCAACATGATGACAAAACTACAATTCACTGAAGCCTTGTCTTCTCTATTTGAGGCATTATGCTAATATTTCACATTGCGACTTGGACGTTTAAGGTTATAATATCTGGACTTGGATCGAAGCGTTTGTGAGCTTTGTAAATTTGCAGATCTTATACATGCACAAACAGATACATTACACACCAAAGCAAAAAGAAAACATTAAAGGGATAGTTCACTTTGAAATAAATTTTTGGTATGTTTTAGCTGACCTCAAGGGCATCCAAGATGTAGGTGTCTTTGTTTCCGCAGTAGTTTCAATTTTGATATTTTTAGGTCAAACCGTTCTTGTCTGTCAGTCATATAATGCAGGTCTATGGTAACTTCCTCAAAGAGCATGCACAGAGAAGTCCAAATTGAACATGATTTAATGACTCGTAAATGTAAGTACACATTAATGGCCTAAGACACGAAACGAGCGGTTTGTGTGAGAAAACGAACAGTATTTATATCGTTTTTACCTCTTGTAACGCACAGACCGAAGCGCCCGCGCCCTCAGATCACTTGGACGTGACTGTGATTACAAGAGGTAAAAACGATATAAATACTGTTCGTTTTCTCACACACACCGCTCGTTTCGTGTCTCAGGCCATCATTGTGTACTTACATTTATGAGTCATTAAATCATGTTTAATTTGGACTTCTCTGTGCATGCTCTTTGAGGTGGTGACCATAGACCTGCATTATATGACTGACAGACAAGAACGGTTTGACCTAAAAATATCAAAATTGAAACTACTGCGGAAACAAAGACACCTACATCTTGGATGCCCTTGAGGTAAGCTAAAACATTTTAAAAAAAAATATTGCAAAGTGAACTATCCCTTTAAAAAGCATCATATGACCCTTTTAAAGCACATTCAAAATGAATCTTTAAAAAAAACACACAAAAAACACACATTCAGCCAAACCAGAACCTGTTGGCAGATTATACGTATTTGTTTCATCAATCATCATTCACATGACCACATTTATATAACCGATATCCTTCTGTAGTGCCCTACATAAAAATCCTCATAGAACTAATGTTATGTAACCAAAAACAGAACAATTACACTATTAATCTAAGAGATACATTTGTCTTCCAGCATGTTCCTGGCCCTGCTTTCACAAACAATGATATTATAGTAAATGGGTTGCAAAGAGGCAGACATAGCAGTGACTAACGCAACCTAGATTTTTACTGAAAGCTGCTGCTAAAGCCCAGACTGCACATAAATCACTAAACTCTCAGGGGAAACTCTGCGGCATTAAAAGCCAACAGTAATCATCTAAAATGTCAGAGTTAAAAAATATAATAAACTCAATGACTTATCTACTTCTGCAGCAAATACGGGGTTTCACATCCCTTCTAATAATGACCATTGAAAGTCCCCTCAATGTTCCTTCCCCTACTAAAAAACATACTGTGGAGGACGGTTATGAGATGGCGGTACGTTGAAATATATCATGGTGAAGTGAGGTATACTCACACCAGATGGGTTTTGCAGTCGGTTGGTTCAGCTGGACTGGGGTGGACACTGGGGTCTCCTGACTATCAACATCTATGGATGGCTGGGAGTGTGACTCAAACATGGCAGACAGAGCTAAAGAGAAAATAGAAGGATATGTGATTTGTACACTACCGGTCAAGAAACATTTCTTATTATTATGTAACATATAATATCCCTTATGATCAATTTAATGCATCTTTGTCAGGGGTGCCATAACAGGGGGAAGGTTTGGATGCTTCCAAGGGCCAAACTCTTGAATGGTAGTAGTCTATCGCCGTGTTCCACAAAAATATCAAGCAGCACGACTATTTTCAACATTGATAATAATGTTGGAGAGTTAGTCATTCATTTCCTTCTCTGTGGGCCTCAAATTAGTTCACGTAGTGTAACAGCGCAGCGCTTCTGTGTTGTACGTCACATGCATCACACACATGACCAGCATCGGCCAATAGTGAGCCTACGTGTGACGTACAACTCACTCGAGGCCCACAGAGAAGGAAATGAATAGTTGAATAAAGTCGTTGTTTTTGGTTGTTTTTTGCGCACAAAAAGTATTCTCGTCGCTTGATAAACTTAAGATTGAGCCACTGTAGTCACTTGGACTATTTTAACGATGTCTTTAATGACTTTTCGGGGCCGGCATGTTTCAATCCCTTAAGAAGCCTATGGAGGAGTGATCCAGCTCTCAGATTTCATTAAAAATATCTTAATTTGTGTTCCGAAGATGAACGAAAGTCTTACGGGGTTGGAACAACATGAGGGTGAGTAATTACTGACAGAATTTTCCTTTTTGGGTGAACTATCCGTTTAAGATGTTTCAATGTGTTTGGTGTCCATTCCGTGTAAATTAATTATAGTTTGTGTAAAAGTGATCAACATCCTCGTTTAAATTAGATTTCATGATTACCAAGTGTAATAATAAACATGAATGTATCCGTCCACTTACATTTGAGCCTCTTGAATTGTGCCTGACTCCCGTTCTTGCACAGCACCGTGAGGAACTCGTCCACCTGCTTGAGGGACAGTGAGTTGTGCAGTGTCTCCAGTGGATAGATGGAGGGCACCAGGGAGCAACCTTCAAACCCTGCAGCAGATTCCAAATTCAGTGGCAGCCATCATTACAGATATCCCACAAACACTCTTTGAGCTCTTGTACACGAGACAATCAAGCCAACCTCATGTGACCTGCAAGCACTGTATGGCCACACAAACTCCACCTAACACCATTTAGTCATTCATTGGGGATACAGAACTGTATTTAGGCAGCCCAAAATCTCAAAGATGGAACAACAGCACCATAAAGCAAATGAAATAGCATTTTACCATGTTGTTGGCTTTGGACACATTAGAATCTTCACAATTAATTTGACGGAAATGAAAACAAGTTCTAGAACTTTGGTCTACTAACAAAGTGTTTGGCATCTCGTATGCTGAAAGAATTAGAATGGAGAAATGCTGCAGAGTGCAGACTAATAAACCAATTAGGAGCTTTACATGTTTAACTAACCAAAGAAATGCTGGAGAAACGAACTTTAATGACACTAATACAGTAGATTGAAATGAGTTTAATTACTTCTTTGTATGCTTATGTGTTTAGGTTAGCAGTAATGTAACTAGATGATGATAAAGAACACGCTTAATATTTAAGTGGCACTTTTCCCCAGTTTAATTATGACGAAAAAGAACATACTCAACCTAGAGGCAGTTTAATTCAGCTCTTCATATGACTAGGGAGTTTGCATATTGTTAAAAAAAGCTTTCTTTATCTCTTAAGCTGGGTGCACTGTAATTCTTGTCTGTCCTTTACAATGGTTGGTTATCAGACTGAACGGTGTCCTCCAGTGACCTGTTAACTTGAGAACTTCAGCAAGCGGATCATTCAGTCAGTGAGTTGAATTCGTGAACGAATCAGTCCCGATTTATGAGCGAATCATTTTGTGTTTTCAAGGAAGCAATCAATTTTGTCAGGCTGATTTGTTTTGCATAGCAAATATAGTCATGCTGTTTGTACACCGCATATGGCAACATCTACAAGCAATAAAAACAGTTTGACTACTCTGCTATTTTTACTCCAGACGAACCAGAACACTATGAATCAATTAAAATACAAAACCTTAGAATGATTAACAAATAAGTGATGCACATTCCTGTTCCTTACATATGTTGCATATTAAATACATTAACTGCTTTCTATTTGAATACAGTTTAAAATGTAATTTATTCCTGTTATGCAAAGCTGAATTTTCAGCAGCCATTATTCCAGTCTTTAGTGTCACATGATCCTTCAGATATTTTGTAACATTATAAATGTCTTTGGACCTCACTTTCTGACCTCAATTTGTCCTTGCTGAATAAAAGTATTAATATCTTTAAAAAATTCTATATATATATATATATATATATATATATATATATTATATATATATATATATATATATATACACACATATATATATATATATATATATATATATATATATATATATATGTATATATATGTATATATATAGTATTAATATCTTTAAAAAATGCTATATATATATATATATATATATAGAGAGAGAGAGAGAGAGAGAGAGAGAGAGAGAGAGGAGAGAGAGAGAGAGAGAGAGAGAGAGAGAGAGAGAGAGAGAGAGAGAATTAAAACCTTATAATTGTATAAATAATAAATGTGTTGTTAAACTATTTTATGAGCAGGATGAATAAAATAAGCAAAATTTCATATTGAACATCAGTGTTGAATCATAATTCATGTTTTACCACTTCATAAAATCAAAACAGCACTGAAGGCATTTACATTACTTTTACCTAATTCTTTTTTCTGTTTTTGGAAATGGTAAAATTGCATTTTCAATCAAGTTAAGTACTCTAAAAAAATGTGTAAAAAGGTGCAAGATGGCTTCATAAGAGCATTATACTTACTCTATGCAGACGTCAACATAAGCAAGCGGTCTTCACATTCATCGAGCCATATGTACATGCATGCGGTAAGAAAAGAGGAACAGAGGTTATGAGGTGTTATACAGCAGAAAGAAAGGCCACTGAGTGAAGAAAAGCAAGAAGTCAGATAAAAGAGCAGAGCAGATCCTGTAATGCAATGGCATAAGCTGAAGCCTCACACTTCCAGAAGCGGGGGAATGACTGAGCAAATGACAAAAGGGCTGACCAGAGAGGCATTCTGGGGGCTTGTGGCCAGCACAGAGCAGGTGGGAGGAGCAGTGGTGTAGGTGGTCAGCAGAGAGCCCAGCTAACAGCTTTACCACCTGATGCTCATCTAAGAGCGCTGATGGAGAGAAAGATGAAACACTGAAAGGATGCAAGTGGTGAAGGTTAACAACAAATGTCTGGAGAGAGGAATTCTGGGAAGGTAGAGGAGAGGTGGGAAGGTAAAGAATCGTGTTAGTTTTGATTGAATAGTACTTTTAATTTGTCATTTGTATTTATAAAAGCAAAAAAAATAATGTTTTATTAGCAAATAAATATATACTTTTATTTATTTAAACAATAATTAAAAAAAAAGTCCAGGCATGAGAATTCTGGGAAGGTAGAGGAGAAGAGAGAAGGTAAAGAATAGTGTTAATTTTTTAAAGTATTATTAATTTCTCATTAATGAAGGAATAAATAAACAAACAAAAAACAGGAATTATGAGAAGATGGAGCGTGGAAGGTAGTGATAGTATTCTCATATTTTTTCCCATCACCATGTAGTAACAGGAGGGATGAGGTAAGCAAAGATGTGGCAAAGATGGAGGAGGGATGGTGTGGGCCGTAGGGAAGCAAAGGCTTCGGGGATTCAGGAGGGAACTAAACACAGCAGGTTGAGCGGGAACAAAAGGATGACAGTTGGAGGAGGAGAAGGAGGAAGAGAGAAGAAGGAGAGGCACTGCAATGAGGATCCACTGCCTCAACCCCTGCTGAGATGATTTTATAGGAGTGACTCAGCAACGTATAATTGATGACCTGAAATAATGTTTTTTGTTTTGTCAGGACCTATTTTCAGAGGCAGCCCGAGTGCAATTAAAGTCCATGTAAGAAGCAAAGCCTCTGAACACAGCCTGAAGATTGGGCGAAGCTCTCTGCTTTAGCAACAAATGTTCAACTTATGCTATTTCTATTTGAATGAAACACTTGAATGTTTCACATAGCATGCAAAAACTCCTGAAGTTTGTTGTACTTACAAAGTCAGCTAGAGCAATAATCTTGACCTGAAGCAATTTTCCATGCACTTCTGTTCTATGAAAGCTAATTTTACACAACATGCATATAATACAAACTATTGCCTCTGTATTATCTAACTGATATACTTCATCCGTTTTTAGACAGAAAAACAGTCCAAATAAATTACATAATATTTCCAAATATAAATAATCAGTATTATTTACATAAATGAGAATGAAATTACAATAATTTACAGTGCAAAATGTCATTAACAGTGCAAAATGCTAATGATCACAAATTAATCACATCAATAGTGCAAAATGCTATTGATGTCAAATTACAAAAATTACTAATAATTATATAAATAGTAATTTAATAAATTACAAAATTAATGAGTTAAATTAAGTGACATCAACAGTGCCAAATGGTACCTAAATTACAATTTATCACATAAATAATATAAATTAATAATACATTAAAAATTACAGAATGAATAATACATTAAATAACAATAAATAAAAGTGCAAAATTCTATTGATGTCAAATATAATAATTATAGTTATTTTAAGTTTCTTTGTTACACTATAATTATACATTTAAGTACTGAGTAATATTAAGTATACATGAAGAGTTTGGTTCCAAAACGCGATAAACGCCATTTTTTAAAAAAATTAGTTACTGCAAAAATCAGTATTGTATCTGGTTGGTATTGAAAAGTCAATGTTTAATTTTAAGTAAAATGCGATATCCGCCGTGTTATTCTGTCATGTTTTCTCCCTTTCTTTCCAAACCGCGACAAACGCCAGTCTCCCTTCTCTGCAGAATGCTCTCAACCAATCACAACGCACCATTCCACGCAATGTAAACGGTAACGGCAGCGCCTTAAATACACCCGGCTTCCTAGTTTTTCTTATCTATTTTGTATCTATTTTCATTTGAATATGAAAAAAAAAAACTTTTATATTGATTCAATGAATTAATTGCATTTTGAATTTTAAAAAAAAAAATGGATTTATTACATTTTGGGGAAAAAAATAATCAGTTTTTATAATAAATCTATGAAAATCAAAACCTGGATTTTAATTATTTTTGTTATTATGACCTACAAATGCTATGTGAAAGTTTGAAACAGAAAATAGTGGTTTTCATCTTTCCACTTTCTTGGTAAAGAAAACACATTTTTACTCAAATTAATCTAAATGGATTTATTGCGTTTTGGAACCAAACTCTTCACATGTACTTACTATAGGGTTAGGATTAGGATTTGGTTTGGTTTAGGGTTAGTTGCATGTAATTATGCTTAATTTGTAGGTATTACTATAGTAACTACATGTAACATAGTAACAATGACACTGTAAAATAAAGTGTTACCTAATTATATAAATAGTAATTCAATAAAATTACACAATTGATAATAAATAAAATGACTGGCATTAAAAATGCAACACACTTAGGTAGTCGAAAGCTTACGATTTCGCATTGAAGTCACAGAAATTCTGGATCCTGGGTGACTGTGCTTTATTTTTCAGGTTGTGTTTATTTACTGATTTTACTGACTTGATCCCCTGCTTAAATGGGCCAGCCCTACATTTTTCTTACATTAAATCGGACAGAAGTGTTTTTTCAACCGTAGGCCAACAAGTTCAACTGCATCATCCATTACAGCCTGCAATTCTACTATAAATCACAATTCAAAACCTAGTCCTGATGCACTGCAAACGCTATATCAGTGGAAAAACAGGATTTTTCATTTGTGCTGACAGCATGTCAATAGACAATCTTCCTCAGTCTCGTCAAATATGTTAAAAGACTGGAAAAATGACTGACACGTGTTGATAGGGAACACATGGATAGCCTGTCTGGGCTTTTAGATTTGTGGCCAAAATGTGTTTCCCTCAAGCAGTGTTAAACTGTCACATGAAATAAGCAGTGTTTGATCACTTCAACTCTTCGCTGGGCTGTACTGTGTTGAGAAAAATACTTCAAATTTAACCTCACCAAAACCCAACTGAACTAGATTCCCTACAGAGACACAAACATTCAAAAATGACAGAGAAAAAAGGCTAAAAAAAAAGTCTAGTGCTAAACATGTGCTTCATTACGAGCTCAGTCCATCAGCAACAGACTTGTTTGATGAGCAAACTTGGAATGAGTATAATGATCATATTAAACATATTGAATCTCAAAAGGCAAAGCTAAGCAAACATCTTGGTAAACACTAAAGCTTTGACACATAAATGCCAGCTTCTTCTTGACAAGATAAACAGGACAAGAAACAATCAATAAGAAAGAGCATGCAAATATAATGACCTACATACAACATTCATAAATAATTTTCATAAATGTCATTGCAATCAAGATAATGAATCAAGTAAAAAAAAAAAAGATGTTAACCCTCACCCCCATTAGCAACTATGATCATCATGCAAAGATATTTGATCACTGTATCCAAATTACAATAAATATATTTGAACACTGCAAAAAAAAAATATATATATATTTTTGTCTTGTTTTACAGTTAAAATGTATAAATATCCTTAAAATGAGACGCATTTAATTGAAAAGCAAAACTAAAGATATTAAAATGAGTTTTCAGAGAATACTGTATATTGTTTTTAAGCATAAATTAAAACAATAAAAAACAACAATGTATATTCTCTGAAAATGTATTAATTTACTCAGTATCTCAAAAAAAATAAAAAAAATTTACTTCTTTTTAAGAATGTTTTGATATTTTAAATAGGCCATATTACGCCCTTTTCAAAGTTTTGTTTATGTTTTTGGGGGTCTACTAGAGAATAGGTGTCATTCTTGAATGTTCAAAAACACCTTATTTTTCACATATTTTACATATAATAGTTGCACCTCTATTCCCAGTCTGTCAGAAACACTCTGTTTGGTTTCGGTCTCTATGAAGCCCCTCCTTCCGAAAAGCGCAATGTGCTCTGATTGGTCGGCTGGATCAGTGTGTTGTGATTGGTCAACTGCTTAGAGCTCGTTTTGGAAATGTCATGCATCTTACCATTACCACGAGTTTCAACGAACTACTAGTCCCGTCGAAAAAGTAAAAAAAGCATAATAGGTCTTCTTTAATTTTAAGATTTTTTTATTATTATTTGCAATTAAGATGGCTATTTTTGCACTTAAAGTAATGCACAAGTTATGTGATCATTAAAGCAGTAATGGTGGTGAAAGGGTTAACCATTTCTAAATTAAGTGGATCAACATGAAATGTGGTCACACAAACGACAATATATCGAGAGATATATTCGGTACACAACCCATGCATCTAGCCAATCAGAAGGAGGAATGATTTAAGCTGGGTGTGTCTTGTGAATTCAAAGGAAAAGGGTGAAGAAAAGCCTCTCTAATTTATGAAAAGAATTAAACAAAAATCACAAACGGTGCTAAATTACGAACGCTATGTTGAAAGCAACGGCAGAGGACATGCAGGAGAGTGTCAACAAAAAAAACATGGACTCCAAACATACCATTAGTCGGATGCCTGGCATACGACACAGAAAATCTCTTTACTGGTGGCATAGAGAGCAGCTCTGAGGAGATAAAAGAGGCATTCTGCATTACTCGTGTCACTGTGCTCCTCATGAGCTTTTGGTCTTAATCAAAACTACCAGCTTTTTTTAATCCTCCCACCATCAAGCTCTCTGTCCCTCATAAAATCTTCTATAACAAGCAGGTGAAAGTATCAGTGGGGCCAGATGTTGCCCTTCAATATAGGGATTGAGAAACTCAAAAACAACAGATGGTCACAACAAACTATCCAGCATTCTCTGTGCTACAACATCCTTTTGGATACAGCATGACATGGCAGTATTTTGAGTGTTATTTCAAATGTCTTAGACGAGGTAAATCTCAGAGACACAGCAACACCCTGTGGACAAAACTGTTAATGCTGCTACCAAGGAGTGAGGGGTGAAAATTCATATAAACAAATAAATCATCTAAAAAATAAACATGTATTGTTTATATATATATATATATATATATATATATATATATATACACATATATATATACACATATATGTTTTGTTTATAATATATATATATATATATATAATGCAATTTAATAATAAAATAATTCATTTAAAATAATATTTAAATGTCAATAAAATATTATATTAATAATTCATTTCAAATAATGTATTTGATACTGACGAAATTAGGGAAAATGCATTTCTTTCCGATGTATGCATGACATTAGAGTGCAATTTCCAATAACTGTTTACAAAATAATCATAATATCCAGAATTATTCAATTAATCATTAATGATTGTGGTAAAAGCGTTTGCCGTTTGTTTTACCATGGATATTATCTATCGCAATCCATTAAAACACATTCCCAGAAGTGTCAGAGAATGCTAAAATGTGTCCTTTTGCATTAAACAGATGGCTAATTTGTGCAATTTACCAAATTACTGAACAAATGTTTGTTTACGTGCACATGCACCATGCAAATAAACAGTTTGGAGTTAGCAAAGGTGACACGATTAGTAACCATATTATTCAGTTACTGTGGAAACCTATTTCTCTAAGCGAGACCTTGATAAACAGCAAGACAAATGGTTTAGGAACAGCTCCTGCTGTGTGTAAAGACTTGATTTGGGATGTTTTTAAAGGCTAGAATAAAATTTCAAATATATTTTAAATGAAGTATGCTGAAACACAGTCACTAGGAAGGACACAGTGTACAAGAAATGGTCTTAAAAGGAATGTTGAAAGCTAATCAACCATTTTTGTTGCATTAAGTGAGAGTCTATTAAGTAAACGGGAATTATTCAGAAGAAATGTAAACTGGGACGTTTGTGATGATAGGAATCTTCAGGTCTTCTGGTCACAGGTAGGTGAGGTACATTATAACCCTGTATGTGTATGTGTTTGGGACATACCGGCTTGAGAAGACACATTCCTGAGCGAGGAGGGCTTTTTGCGGGGAGCTCGTGTTAGGTCTCTCAGGTTGGGGAAGGAAGCACTGAAGAGGCCTGCACACTGGGAGCCTGCGAGTGGGAGGGAGACCGTGGGGTGGAACGTGGGGTGGAAGGTGGTTAGTAGTGGTTAGTTTTCACAAGTGAACATGCAGCTTCTCATTTAAAGAAGTTAAAGGGATAGTTCACCAAAAAAAATGAAATGATCTGTTCTATAGTTACTAGGGATCATGTAACGGTACACAGAAGTCCAGTTCGGTACAACAGGAAAAAGCAACAAATCCCCAATGCTAGGTCTCTTTTTATTTATTTTGAACTGACAGTAGACCAAATTACAGTTTGTTCCACCTAGCAGCATTTAGTCCCCTTGAAGTAGTTGGTACAGTACAGCCTCCTTTACCCCCGGTTTCACAGACAAGGTTTAACTCGAGTCTCAGACTAAAATGCATGTTTGAGCTGTTTCAACCAAAAGCAACTCGCACTGATATATCTTAAAATATGTCAATGCCATTGCTTTGTCTCAAGATGCACAACAGTAATCTTTTTTTTTTCAAAGGCAAGTTTATAAAAGCTACTTAAATGCCCTAATTGAACTAAGACCTAATCCTGGCTTAATCTAAGCCCTGTCTGTGAAACCAGGCCTTAGTGTATTAAGCACTAAGCAGTAAACAGAATGCACTCTTGCATAGGTCTTTTTTTTTTTGGTAGGGCTGATAAAAAACAAAAGGTATTTGGTCTCAATCAGCTACAAAACTGAAAAAGCATCTTGTGTTATAAAAGTTTAAAATAAACAGAATACATTAAATAAACAGTACATTAAAATTCAATTGAATATTTATATCAATTGTATTACCTTTTACTTGATGGTTAAACCACAACATTTATGCCTTTTTTAAAGTAAATTATTAAGTACTTCAATTTGAACTTCTTGAAAATCAAAACGATACGTTTTACAAAACTCATGAATAGAAATAACTTTGCACAAGCATTGTAAACTAGATTATTTTCTTCTTGACACTCTTATTTGTCATTGACCCATTTTGACATTCATTTTTTTGTTGAACCATCCTTTAAGCTTATTTCCAGGTGCACAGACGACCTTTGCAAACAAAACCCAGTTAAACTGCTGGTCTTCTGCTGGGAACATAAATATATTGCCAGTGCAGGAGGGTGAAACTGACCAAATGTAATTGGAGTAGGTATGTGGCTCTAAAAGATCAAAAGGACATCTCTACCTTCGGGCATCACTGATATAACAGCATTTGTTTAAAAGCCTACATGTAAGACATGCCAGATGCAACATGCACTTAGATATAAAATAGTGACTTCCAAATCATGCCGTAAGTCTTTAGTAAGGTGCAACCAAACCTGGGAAACAGTGTGTATTGTTGCCTTGTAAAAGTTCTTTGAAGATAGATATAGTACAGACAAGAATAGCAGAGAGAGTCCTGCCATTAGCCATATTTAGACCACTACTGGCAGCATGGACACATTTCCGACGCAGTGGGCATGGCTGGGTCCTTGAACGGTGTCATTGGTGATAAACAGAAACAAGTGCGTTTAACGGTCGACTACACCATGTCACTTCTGAGAAGTTGAAAGGTTTCTCCAATTAAACTGATGACAGGAGAGATATTCAACATGAAAACAACACAAATGAAATGCAATTCTCACCTAGCCCGCTGGGTTTGATCTCAGGGGACTGACGAGAAGACGACGGCAAGAGACGATACGCCAGTCCACGAGAAGAAGTGTTGCTCTCTGAAAGAGCCTGCAAAGAGAGGAAAACAAAGGCATATGGACAAACATTTAAAAAGCACATCTTCTTTCTATGTAAATTCAGCTTGTTAAATCTTTTTTAATTTTTAAGTTAGACCAGGGGGTTTCAAATTTTGATACCAAGAATCCCCATATAATCAGACTATATATACAGGGCCGTCGCAAGGGGGAAATCATTCTAATATGCTGATCTGGTGCTCAAGAAACATTTCTTATTTATATAATCAATGTTGAAAACAGTTGTGCTGCTTAATATTTTTGTGGAAACAGTCATATATTTTTCAGGATTCTTTGAGTAGAAAATTAAAAAAATATATAACAGCTTTTATTTAAAATGGAAATCTTTTTTTAACATTATAAATCTTTTCACTGTCACTTTAGATCATTTTTAGGTATCCTTGCTGAATAAAAGTATTAATATCTTTTTTTTTTACTCTTACTGACCTGAAAAAATATTACATTTTATGATAATTTTTTTTAAATAATTGTTTCCAAAGTTAAATAATTGCATTTTATACTGTTAAGACAAATGATTAAAATATTATCTAAAACATTTAACTTTTAAAGCCCTAAAATACTTATTTTTTTCACAGACCCCTTAAATGCGAGGCCCAAATTTTAATAAAAGTATTTTTATCATGTCAGCAGTTGTTCATCAAATAAAGAAAAGTAAAGCTTAGTAGCAGAGCTCATAGTACAGTACTGTACCTCCATAGATCCAGCCTTGCGGTTGCGTATAAGTGGCGACTTCCTCTGAATATTGATTGGCTCAGTCAGTACGGCTCTGTCGGGCTCATCTTGGGAAAGGTCTTCAAGACTGCCTTGGTTTGTCTGCTTCTCGTGGTTCTATTACATATGAAATGGGAGAGTTGGAAGCGGTCCAGCACATTAATATTGTCAATATTTCTTAAGACAGTTGTAAATAAAATCCTATAAGCCGAGTGAAACACACAGACCTCTGAGGAGGCGGGCCGGAAGCCGAAACCCATTGGTGCATTATCCTCATCCTTGCACCCCTTTACCCCTGGGCTAAAGTGCAACTCCACGTGAAAACGTTCCTCTGAGGAAGGGTCCTACAGATACAAATGTAAGCAAATAAAGCAAGAATAGAAATTGGGCACAAACGGCTGATGTGGCCACATCTCGTACCTTGTTATTGTCCTCATACAGCATAATAACAATCTGTGTCATATAGTTGAGTTCAGTCACGGCGCTGAGGTAGTCCATAGCCTGCTTCCACTGTTCATCTTTTTGTTCCTAAACAGACACAGATGAGATAAAGCAGTAGTAACTTGCATTAAACATGATGCTGGGGGTAATGTGCGTGTCTGATGATCGCTCACTCACGTCTAACAGGCCTCCGTAGCGGAAGATGCTAAGCAGGGAGTGTACGTGGCTCTCGCTAGTGAAATAGAGTCGGGTCCGAACGTGCCGACCCGGAGACATCACTCCCCGCGAGTACCTGAACCACCAAAAGGGATGAAATACACAATCTGATCACTCACAGGTTCTATAGGTCATGGCTGAGTCTTCAGAGCTTCTATAACAATGTGAGGTCATACAATAAACAACAACTGAAAATATCAGAAGTACATACCGCACTTGTGATGGTAAAGTAGAAGTTTTAAATATGTACTAAGTACGTCAATATAAGGACCAGCAATGTCAAAAGTCGGCACTAAACGTACAGCAATTGTATATATAAAAAAACGTATCTACCACTGTATATAATGGCATTAATATTAATCCACAATATTGACAGTAAATAAATAAATATACATTTTTCACAATTTTGGTTTGAAATACGATCAAATCAAAATACAATAACTGACTAAAAAGCTGTAAACATCAATATCAACAATAATGAAAATGAATATATTTATTTATACATTTTTCCAAATGTTGGAAAATTTGTTTTATTTTGCTGAAGTTTTTTTTTTTTTTTTTTTACATATTATTGTCAATAAAAAACAAAATGTTATTTTTGTTGACAAAAACCTGCACCATTTTACCATTTTAGTGAATGTAAAATGGACAACATTTAATAAATATGGCATGACGAACATCAAAACATTAACTATGAATGAAACAAATAAACAAGCAAAAACTGTACAAGTGAACACTGTTTGCATCAGACAACAACAGTACAGCGCAAACCCCTCCTCTTACACAGCATGAGGAGTTGTGGATAATATTAGCCCTGAAAGCAAGCATGGTTTGCCTACTTTCAAAATTCACAGGAAAAAATAAAGTGAAATGTACTAATAGTAATTTGGCACACTAAACAGGATGTATAATGTGATTTAGCCTTCACACTGTCGGAAAGTTTGGCGTTGTGCCCCAGTACAGAGACTCACAGTGGATGCAGCTTGTTGACGGCCTCGTCCTCATGAGTCCTCTGAAGATCCAGCTGAATCTTCTTGACCAGAGGCAGACAGTAGGCACTAGCGATGTCTAGCTTCTCCGCTTTAGTGATTCCATACTCCTGAAAGACAGTGTGCGTGCAGGTAACAAAAAGATGAAAGTTAAATAAACAAACACTGTTGTATATCGATTCCTCTACCTGGGGGATGATGATGTCCGCAAGTGCTCTGGACAGACGGAAAAGCTCCAGCGTGTCCTCCAAACTCAGAGAACTGTTGTGCTGAGTGTCATATTTCACACAATCGTAAATGTCCGGGATCTTACTGATGTCATAGCGGCAATTTTTCATGCGGAAGTCACGCTCCAGTTTGGACCAGCGTTGCAGCATGAGCTCCAGAGTCTCGCTGTGGTATAGCTGCAGGTCTGTGAATATCACATAGACATTTAAGGGATGCTTCACCCAAAAAGGAAAATTCCGTCATCATTTACTCACCCTCAAGTCGTTCCAAACCTGTATGAATTTCTTTCTTCTGCTGGAACAAATATTTTGAAGAATGTCGGTAACCAACTCTCGGTTTACCCATATTCTTTAAAATATCTTCTTTTGTGTTCAGCAGAAAAAATAAATTCATACAGGTTTGGAACGACTTGAGGGTGAGTAATTGATGACAGAATTTTCATTTTACATTGATCATTATAATTTAATATTAAATTGTTTAACATTTGATTATTTAATATTTTGAATATTTACAGTTGAGCAATAACAATACTGTAACACTTAGGATGCACTTTAAACATTCAAGACTTCTTATAAGAAGACAAAGAGCTCCAACCTGCAGATTTGGGGTCTTCGAGCCTTTTACAGATCTGGCAAGTAAGGCTTTTAATGAGGGTGTGAACTTGGTCACAAGTCTTGACTGGATTGACAATTACCCTCATGGAGTTTACCAAAGATGGGCTGCCTGTTGGAGCCAACTTAAAGAGACAGGACACATTTAGAACTAGTTTAGTTATACGGAGATAATGAGCAGTTGGGACTTTGTTCACCTTGTTGTAGTCCTCCTCACTGAAGTCTTTGTTCTTCTGCATGATCTCATGTAATCGAGCTTTGACTCTCTGCTGACAGTCAGTGAGAGAGTCGCTGTCACTGTCCAGCAGTCCGTTCATGTTGGCACTCTTCACCATCTGAACGAGGATTGGAGTCAACTCTCCTTCCAGTGCTAACAGACCCTAAACACAGTCAGACATAAAAAAGTATTGTAAATTAATACCATATGTGATAACCAGTAGGGGCCAGAAAGTCTGAGATGACATAAAAATTCAATTTAAACATAATGAGATAAAATAATGAGATAGTTTAAATATTCTATAAAAAAAAATGTAAGATGCACCTAATGATAATTTATATACAATATACAATTATAATAAAGTTTTAAAAAAGAATTAAAGTGCATTTTTTTATTATTAAAGTAAACAAAAATAAATACATAAAAAGCAGTTTACATCAATCCCATCTAAAAGCATTATGTAATACCAACATATCCCTGCAGACAAAACCCAGGCAAACCTTTGCGAATGCCGCTGCAGTCATCTGCACACGACCTTCATCGGAGGCGTAGATTTTGAGGTCATGGCGGTAAGTGCTGTGCAAACGGAGAAGGCCACAACCGGGGAAGCCGGCATAGTCGCCTGCCAAAGCACAGAGAAGCAATCCTTGAAATAACAATGATCACAAGAACAAAACCCCAGATGTATGTGCATATCCTGGAAAAGAAAAGGGTCTGAAGAGACACACACATTCATAATACAGAACCACTGTTTAAAAACCTACAGTACGTATAAAGTGATGTACAATCAACTGGCTGAAGATTTGCTCTACAAAACTCAAAATATCATTTCATGCATTTCAATAAATTCACACTATTGAAAGCAACTGGCAATACGGGTTTAGGTGCTTCCCACTCAAGTTGCAAACAGAACTCTGATTTAAGATTCCAGAATGTCCATTTGCGAGAACAGAAGAGCCCCCTAAAACAAACTATCTGACAGTTAGATTCATTTTTGAGGCCATTCACACAGGATGCATTCTTGCCGTCTATCCATGTTGTTGTTTTTTTGTGTTTGTCAGATAAAGCAAATTTGAGCAAAATTAAGTTCATAATATTTAGCAATCGACAAAGTAATAGCAAAGTTAAAATTAAGATTAGTAATGAGGAAATAGAAAGAGTATATGAATATAAGTTTTTGGGGGTTATAATAGATCATAAATTATGCTGGAAATCACATATAAATAATGTAAAAACAAAAATGTCTAAATCCATTGCAATATTAAATAGAATAAAACATATTTTGAATGAAAAGTCATTATATGTATTGTATTGTTCACTCATAGTTCCATACATTACTTATTGTGTGGAGGTGTGGGGTCATACATATAAAACTAATACAAATTCAATATATATGTTACAAAAGAAAGCAATAAGGATTGTAAAACAGGCAGACTATTATGAACCAACAAATAGATTATTTATTAATTTACTAGCTTTAAAATTTGTTGATTTAGTTGACCTTTATACTGCACAGACCATGTATAAAGTTTATAAGAATTTACTTCCAAATTGTGTTCAGAGGCTGTTCGAAGTAAGAGAAAGTCAGTATAAGCTAAGAGGAATGTATATGTTTAAAAAAGTAAGAGCAAGAACTAACACAAAAAATAGATGCATATCTGTTAAATGAGTAAACCTATGGAATAATTGTGACAAGGAATTAAAATTGTGTAATTCACTCTGTAATTTAAAAAAACAAGGTGATAAATATTTATAAAACTCAATATGATTAATTTGTTTACGTTATATGTTAACTATTGAAATAATGTCTGAGATGTGTACCTTTGTAATCATGTATGAACATCTTGGAAATGTTCTTATGTAAAATGTACGTTTATTTTGAAAAGTTAAATCCAGAGAGAAAAGTGCCGCTAATTGCGTAATTATGTACAAAAGGTGAGCATAATAAGCATAGGCTTCAGCCTACACCTTTTTTTGGTTGTTATGCATGTATGTATATCTGTATAATGATTGAAAATAAAATTGAATTGAAAAAAAGATATTCAGTCACTGCGCTAAGAAGAGCATTACATTTTTAACACATTTTAAGGAGCACAATGTGCTCTGTCCTGTGTGTATGCAGCCTTAAATAGAAGCCCATTTCCACCAAAAAGGATAAAATAATCATGCTTTGGTAAATCATAATTAATTAGATACTAAACCCTAATGAGATAAAAAGGCGAAATTGTGACGAAAAAACTTTTTTTTTTATGTATTTATATCTCATAAATTCAACTTTTTTACATAATTATGACTTAAACTCTGAATTTGGACTTTGTCAATTTTGACTTGTCATGATTCTGCATTATCTCATAATTTTGACTTATTGATCATTTTGAATGTTGACTGTCACAATTATGGCATATCAATTTCAACTTTTCGTCATAATTTCAAACTTCTGTCATAACGATGCCTTTTTATCTCATTATTTTGACTTTTATCTCATAAATATGACAATTATGATTTGCCAAGACATGTTTTTTCTTATAGCAAAAACAGGCTTACATAGAAAAGAGAGAATTTAAACTATTTGAAAAATCTTATTCTACCTACGTGCTGACAAAAAGCGAACAACTTTTTTTTGCATGAGATTTAGGAGATAAACCTGAAATTGATGCTACCACAATACTACCACTTAAGTCATAGATTGTTCAAATAATGGCACAATAGTCTAAGAAAATGTTGTACGCATATCACCAAACAAATTATGGGAAAAAAGTTATGTAGAAAAAAATTAGAAGACTTCAGATTTCTAATCATGCTGAAAAAAATAATAACTGGCTAAGCTCTCCAGAACTATGATGTTTTATCTGAGTATGTCCGAGTACAACCAATGTCCATATCATGGGATCTTCCACACAATCAGTGGCAAAAGCAAAGCATGGAATGTTACTGTGCCGCCCCTCTGATCGGATTAGTTTAATGAGATAGATGTCAATGAATTAAAATGATAAATGGGGCAAACAATGCATTAACCCAATATCAAGAACACACACAAATCCAAAAGCTCTTCTTACCACAGTCAATAGGTGACTCACAGCCAAGGGACCTGCAGCTGTCTAGTTATCAATTGAAGGTAAAGAACAGCATATTAACCAGTAGTGCAAGATACTGCTGACTCAGGCTACGTTCACACTGCAAGCCTAATGCTCAATTCCAATTTATTGCTCGGATCCGATTTATTTTGTGTAGCTGTTCACATTGTTGTTTTAAATGTGTCCAATATCAGATTCCAGTGTGAACAGATCATCGCCCTGGACTGACCTGCATGCAAGAATAAAAAGATGACATGCAGCATGATGTCATACAGAAGAGGACATTAAAGTCCATACACGGAGGACATTATAGTAAGTGATTACATGTTTATTTATAGCGTGATCTGCCGCAGAAGCCAGCAAATATATGCGCAGGCGATATAAAAAACTACGAGAAAAAAGAGAGCAGAGTTTTTAAACGCATGATACAAGCCCTCATGCCCTATGCTTGCATATAGAGCGGTCACTGTAAATGCTTATAAGTTCTGACACATCACTGTCCTTCACTGACTACCTTTCGAAACAATCTTTATAACTTGATAACTTTGCGTATGTAAAATCTTTGAAGTGACTCCCATGAGCGCAGAATTGTGACAAATGTTGCTCTAGAGTGACATAAAAAAAAAGTTGAATGAATTCCGATATGCCTATTTAAACTGAGGTCGCATTGCAAAACATCTGACCTGTCTCGGATTTAGGACCACGTATGGAAGTGGCCCGAAATTGAAAAGATCAGATTCCATGTGGTTTGTGCTGACAAAAACAGATCTGAGTCAGATTGGGCCACATTTATCTGCAGTTTGAACTCAGTGAAATTAGAAAAAAATGGTTTGACTTTGTTAGTCTGTGAACTCTCACATTTAATGAGTTACATCCAATTAGGTGCAGTGTGCAAATATGGACTCGAATTTGAGGTCCGAGGGAAGTAACTGAACTTCACAGGAAAGAATCCACAGCTAAGAGGTATTTTGTGTTGCTGTAAACTTGTTACTTGAGGTAAAGAAAGTTTTCATTCCTCCTCGAGTCCTGCCCTTACATGCTTTTGTTCACCAAGCCCACTGAACAAACAGGTTAAACAGGTTTCCTGTTACAAACATGCACAAAGTCTGACATATCTTGCCATGGCATCTCATTTATCATGATCTCCTGCAAAGGGAGCACAGAGCTCCCAAAACAACTGCTCCTGCAAACAGATGCTAGGCTGCATGGATGGGCGGAAAGTTCTTGCCCAGAACAGAACCATACCATCAAACCAAACTGTTTCTTAATAATATTTAACAGTAGTGGTTCTGACAGAAAGTATATGGACACTTAAGTCGCACTAAAACATGTCTGAATGTCTTTGTATTAGATATATCAAACCAAGTGGTTTTCTTACTGTTAAGTGTGACTTCATTTTCAAAATAGTATTTGGGTCTATTGTATCTGTATCCTGTTTATTAGTAAAGCTTTCCAGCTGATGCAGGTGTAGTGTTATACCTTGTCCTCCAGGGTACATGCAGCGGAAGGCTCGTCCCAGCTCCTCAGCCTGAACTCTACCTGCTGGGGTCAGCTCACCACCCCACTTCAACACCAGCAGTAGAGATGGACCCTCCTTCAGAGTGTCTGCCATAGGTTCAGAGGTCAAAACTTATACAACAGCAAGGTAACGTATATTAAAACGCATGTATTAAACACACACACCTTCCTCCTCACTGGATGCTTTGGGCTGTCCATTTGGCAAGTAAGTCAGCTGCACCTTCCTGTTGATCCCAGAGAAATGGCCATACCTGAAAGACAATACATGGGGCAGGGGGACATAAACATACCAGCCCCTCTTTATAAGCATTCTCCCACTGAACAACACAGACAGCACACATCAGACATAGCATTGGGCTCAAACCACTAGCAGGTGCTCTGTGCCCCCCATGTTTCTGGAAACATGTATCTGAGTGACCTTCCCAAGCTGGCAGGGGTTAATCTGTGCCATACCAGGGCTGTCTTTACAGGAATGACAGGCTTTGGGAGGAATAAAACGTGGCTTCTGCAACAGTGCCACGTTTTTTTTTTAAGTTACACAATACAGCAGAGAGTGGAGAATTCAGGATGGTTGGTCTCTAGTCTACAATTTAATTATAATTTTTTTAAAATAGATTTTAGATAAATCATTAATATGCATATACTACTGTTCAAACGTTTGGGGTCCGTAATAAAGAAATTATATTAAAGGGGTCATATAATGGTACATGCACTTTTACAAGTTGATTGTACTGAAATGTGTGTTGGCAGTGTCTGTACACAACCATCATATAATGATAAAAATCCATCCAGTGGTTTTGTTTTAATCTCCTTATATGTTTTCCCCTGCCTCAAATCGAGCCGTTCGAGCCTGTGACGTCACAAGCTCGCACGCCCCTCCCACGATTGTTGATTGACAGGAGCGTTTCAACACAGACCCGCCCTCGCTCATGAGGGAGCTGTCAATCATAGTCTGCGCGGACCGGCGCGGTCATTGTTGATATGCTGGAGCACTGTCTATGAGCAGAATGGCGACTAAGCGATTGTGGTGTTCTGTTCTTGGGTGTAATAACGAACACAGCAGTCATTTTAATGTTCCTAAATCCGAACCGCTGAAGACACAGTGGCTGTGTTTGTTTTCGAAGGGAATATTCCCCACGAGCAACGTCAATGCTCTCATGTTTGCGCGAATCATTTCTCAGCAGACTGCTTTATAAACGAGGATCAGTATAAAGCTGGTTTTGCTAAGAAGCTGCTCATGAAAAAAGGATCGGTACCAGCTATTCGTGTTCCTGCTGAACCTCCAGAAGAACGGAAGTGAGTGTAACGTTTTATTAAACTTTATATTAATATATTAATCTTTGCAAATCGCCAGCTGCACGCTTCACAATGAAAGCGTCTAAGGTTTACACTCAGGGTACATTACGGCATGTTTTCTATGTATGATGTTCTCAATATAATTCATAATCCCACGTTTATAATGAACAACGCGTTATGGTTATTGTGTTATTGAGTTACAAATGGTGTATGCACAGCACAGAGAGGCGGAGTCAGCAAAGCTCATTATCATTTAAAGTCATATGCACTGAAATGGCGTGCTGAAAACAGAGCTGTTTTTGACCAGGTAAAATAAGTGTTTTCTTACAATACTAATGAGAATTTTTAATTAAAGTATATTACAAACTTTTAATTTAGACCCTAAATAATCATATTAGCTTAGCATATTAGCAAAAATGGCATTATATGACCCCTTTAAAAGAAATGAATACTTTTATCCAGAAAGAATACATGATCAAATGTGACCATACAGATAATAATGTTACAAACGATTTCTATTTCACATAAACCCTGTTCTTTAAATATGTATCACGGTTTCCACAAAAAAATATTCAGCACAATTGTTTTCAACATGAATAAGAAATGTTTCTTGAGCACCAAATCAGCATATTAGTATTACAATGCTTTCTAAAGGATCATGTGACTGAAGACTGAAATTATAACTTTCACATAATTTCTTTTCAGTCACACCTTGAAGTTTACAAGTTCAGACAAGGGATGCACAATAAATCAATACCATACCAGTCAATATTTGTAATTTATTGGTATCTGGTAAGTAAATGGCCATTATTGAATATTAATATTTTTTATTTATATTATTATTGTTTAACCCCTTAACTGTCACCGTCCCGCTACCGGGACGCCTAACTTTACTTCACTATATTTCCATTAAATCCTAATCTAATTATGACAAATTATATATCGTTGGAAAGGTCTAAGACTTCTAAATAGATATTCTACCCCTGTTTTGTGTTACAAATTATGTAGGAAGAGTAATTGATGAATTTATGACAAGAGTGCACCTCAAAAAATCTGCATCATAACAGGAGGTCTGACCTTTGTCACAAAAAGTCGATGCACCCATATTTAATCATTGAAACTTATGTTTTTATGCTAAAAGTTCACAATAAAACATATAATCTAGTATTTTTCAATAAAAAATTGTAATATAATATTATCCTCTAAAAAATATAATATATATATTATCCTCTAAAATATAATATTATATTTTTTATCGCCTTTTTTATTATATCACATATTTTAGTAGTTATCATAAATTAGGTATCATTTGAAAGCTTATGAACTCAGAATTCCTCCTGTGAAAACCGTTTTATAATTGAACGTTGCGTTACCATAGAAACGGTCCTCTAAATTATTTTATCAGGCTCCTCCCCTTTTGGGCATCATCATATTTCATAATTTATGATCAAAACCTTTTCTAATCTTGACAAAACACATTGTCAGAAAGGTCTGTGTCTCAAGGTTCCATATTTTGTGACAGAATTGATATTTGGACAGAAATTTATTAATTTGTTAAGGCAGAATGTTTACAACTAAATTCAATGGAATTCAATGGCACCCGGTGGCTATTTTTGGTACTACGCCTAAACAAAATCTCATGGGAACTTCAATTTTTGTGATATCAACTTCAAATTTGGAACATAACTTGGTTAGATTTATGGCTTTGATTTTATAGTAATTTTATAGTAAAAAATATTTTGTAAAATATATATTTTATATAAAATAAAAAATATATAGTACAGTATATTTGATTTACTGTATATTTAAACTTACATAACTTTTTCATACTTTCATTTTTTGAAGTGTTTTCACTTCAGCAATAATCTGCTGAGTGTTTTCTTTAAAACAAGACCAAACTTGGGTATATATTCCAAAGCATTCTTGAATTACAACCATTTAAGTTTGAATAGTGCATTTTAACCCCCATTCTCAAAAGGGGGGGTGACAGCTAAGGGGTTAAAACAATTGTAAATAATGATAAAAATAGGCCATTCGGCCATTTATCAGTTATAACATAAAAAAAATTATCAATTGAATATCAATCTAATATGATACAACTTGGTCTAAACCTGGTCTGAAGGTGTTCTTTTTAATCTCATTGGCTAGAAACCAGCTCTGGAGTGAATTTGCCACCATTTGCTCCACTGCATGTAATCATACCAAAGCAAAGCACTTCCCCAAACACCTGTTTCCTAGTTAATCTATGACCCTGAACAACCGATAATGTGTTGATTAGGTCCCTCGTTTGAGTTCAGTGAGAGGAGGAAGGAGGAAGTGAGGGATCGTCAGGGATTAGAAACACTTTCAAAATGGCATGCAGATGCCACACAGAATTGCAAAAGGGATTCATCTCCAAGGTACGGTCAATTTTTGGAGCGCTCATTAAAGTGTCAGTAATTTGGACAAGATCTCAGGTTAATGAGGGTTAGGATCCACTTTGCCTGATTCTAAAGAGACAGGGGATATGAGGGTGCGCACTGATTATCATTCAGACTGGATTCCCTTTGGAGAGACCGGCCAGGACACAAAGAGGGACACAGAGAGAGGAAAAGAGAGAGAAAAGGAATGAAGTTAAGAAACTCATCCATATGAGGACAACTAAGGAAGCAAATGAGTCAAGGTCACACTATAGTCAGTTACATACAGTCAGCTGTTCGTGAAATATCAAATGTTTTTCTTGACATAAGCATCCATGACGCTCAAGACTAGAAGACAGAATAGCAATCCAAGTTTAACAATGAAATTAAGTCTGACTAGGTTTGCATGTAATCATATTCTATTCAAAATATCTCTGCAAAGCAAATTCATTTGACAACTTCTTGCCTTCTGTAGACACAATATGAAATACAGCATAATCTTGATCTAAATCTCTCACCTAAATCTCAACGTTACAACTAGCGATGCACAACATAAATGTACTATATCGTTTAGCCAACATTAGAGATTTTTTTATTTATCAGTATTGGTTAAGATTGGATTTAGACCAGGGGTCTCAAACTCGCGGCCCGCGGGCCATTTGCGGCCCGCGGGGTGATATTTTGTGGCCCCCTACTTGACATTAAAGTTTAATGTTAGTGCGGCCCGTCGTTGCGTGTGCCGCGTAAAAAAAAAAAAAAAAAAAAAGTATCCCTTATGAGCTACCATAGATAGTCTCGTGACAGCTTACGGAGGGTTTGTTGTCAATAGTTGTCATAGACAACCGCGAAGTACAAACATACTGCGCCTGGAAAAAATGAGCGCGTCGCTTCAATTATGAGCGCGGTTGCCGCGCGCCTACATTTGAAATTACGAACTTGAGCGCGCAAAATATGTGAGCGCGATATGTGAACGGCCCCTTGGCGAGCTACCACCAATCAAGCCACGAGCTACTGGTAGCTCGCGAGCGACGTGTTGGAGAGAGACACTGCTCTAAAACAATGTGAGAATAATCACTTTGAGCTTGTAATATGTGTCCAACAGGTTGATAAGAAGGTTTGCTTTGATTTGTGCAGTCAGTAATTTGAGACACTATACAAAGAATTCAATAAGACGGGCAGACATGACTGCAAATATTTGTATTTCAAAAGCAATAATTGTTTTTCTAAGTATAATAAAAGGAAATGTGCCTTCCAAAAAAAACATTCAATATCATTAATGTGTTGTATAAAGAAAATAAAAAGGACATAAGCAAATATAAATATCACAAATATGTGTTATAGACAAAGAAAGTTTGTAAAATGAACTTCAACTGTCAGAAGGACAGCTCATGAAGAACCAATCATGTACAGAAAGGAATGTTCAAATTCAGAGGAACAGTTCAGAAGAAACGTTAACAAATATTGAGAAGATTGGATCAGTTGTGCTCCTTTTTTGGAATACTTGAATACTATTTTTTTGTGGAATACTTGATGCGGCCCAGCCTGACCCAGACTCTACCTCTAGCGGCCCCCAGTTAATTTGAGTTTGAGACCCCTGATTTAGACCTTTGGACAATTAAAATTGTGTCTTTAAAAACACAAATAAGTTAAGAAAACTGTTAAATGTAATCTTTAGCCAATCTCAAAACGAATATCCATTAATCCTGTACATTTTAATGTGGTGATAAACTTTTTTTTTAAATTTATATTTAGGCAAAACAACACAGAAATTTGAATATTTGCCATTTACCGGTTATTGGCCGTAGCATGAAAATAATTATTTATCTGCTGTTCTGCTTCTATCAAGCAAAATTGAAATATCAGTGCGTCCCTAATTACAATTCAATGTATTGAAGTTAGCAACCATTAATATAAAACATATTTAGTGCGTCACACTTGTTACCAGCCCCAACTATCTATAATATTTTTCTTAATTTTTCTTTTTACATTTTAAATTCAAAAGTAAACAATTCTTTGTTTCATTCTTTTCTATTTTAGCGTAACTGATAAAACCGTGTATAATTATATATGCAAACATCTGTGCAGATTCTGCATGGGCCTACTGATGACTAATTTCTATAGTTAAGCTGATCAAGAATACAATATTTGTTTGGAAATGATTACATTTTTGACCAGACCTTGTGCAAGAGAAGTGGGAATCTTCAGAGGAGTAAATAGAAGACAGAAGGAATCCAACATGTTTTAGAAATGGATCGAGAGGAGATGATGTTGTGTGTACAGTAGCTTTCTACCATCTCACAAAGTTGGAAACGAAGGGTTGGGTATAACAGTATTATAATTTTGAACAGTTTACTCACATCTCCAGAACCGTCTTCAGCTGTTCTAGTTTGGATTTCTTTTCCTCAATTTCACAATCATTATGTAGGACCAGTTCTGCCAACAGCTGACGGGCAATATCCAGCACTTCCTGTAAAACATCACAGCTGAAAAATGTTAAAATCAAAGTTTTAAAATCGATACGTGCCTGTATGGGAAGCCAGAGTAATTGATAAAGTACAATGGAAATATTTTGGCAAACAGTTGTATGAGTCAGTACCCGGACGGCTGAGTTCTGGATGTATTACAGTTTCTTAATTAATTGTTATGATAGGATTAAATAGGCCTAGACATAAATCAATTGACCACATGGTACATTTTCACACAAAACCCAACAGCAGATGCACATGTGCATGACACCTCGATGAGTCTCATGGCTGCAGCATTCCAGACATAACAATACTACATCTCTCTTAAAAAAAAAAAATCATAAGGCTGAAGGCAAGCCTGTTCTGAAACAAACATTGTGTAAAATTGCTTGCATTTGTCATAGAAACAAATTAAATGCGTAGATCACTTGCGCTTCAATACAGACCCACCTGGAGCTGTTTTGGTTTCTTCAGCTTGAGTTTTCCGGACTTATAGCCACCGTATTTTTCGAACAATTCAAAAAACCTAAGAAAAATGGGATGTCATAACCAGAAAATAAAATTCTTCAATCATAGATATATCTTTGGTCCATTCACACCAAGGACGATAACTATGATAACAATAAAGATATATATATAATTTCTTTTGTATGATAAAAACATCGAGCCAATCAGAATCCATCATGCTTTAAAGAGCTTGAGTATTTAAAGTGGCAGACCACAAAAGAGAATATAATAAATATTATAATAAACAGAACCTTATTGTGCGTTGGTGTGGATGCTAATATAGTTATCGTTATATAATTATAGTTCTTGGTGTGAACAGGCCTTTAAGCACTCAGAACAAGAGTCACAACTGTATTTAGTTTTAGTGTGAAAGCAGCCTATCAGAATGTGTCACTTACAAGGCGTTCCTGACCTCCATCTTCATCTTCTGTTTGGGCGTACGGTCACCATGACGAATTACAGCAATAACACAACGAAGCTCCATCCTTCAGACAAAGATGACATGTCCCGTTTCAAAAGCAATGACACTAATTGGTTTTAATAATCAAGACTCCACAATAAAAAGCTACGGGAAAGAGAAATATATTCTTAGGACAAGAGTGGTAACCCACATGGTTCCTGAGGTAGTCGGGACAATAGGGATGTCCTCTGCTTCCATGGGGATGGACCAGGGAATGTGAAACTGAGGAGCCAGCTCTCGCATCACCATGTTCCTGAGGGAAATGCATCAAATATGAGCTAAAATAAGCAGAAATGATCTTATAAGATAAGAATGAGTACATCCCAGCTGAACAACGACACTATTCCTTTCTTAAGAGCTGCTTATAGCTGAATTAAGCTCCTTTCATAATTTGATTAACCTTATTGCACTATTATTAAACTAGACTGAATCAACATTGAACTAAATTGAGCTGAATAATGACACTATTGTCTTCTTTAGAGCTGCTTAAAGGGATAGTTCACCCAAAAATGGAAAATTCTGTCATCATTTACTAACCTCCAAGTTGTTCCAAACCTGTATACATTTCTTTGTTCTGCTGAACACAAAATATATTTTGAAGAATGTTGGTAACCAAGCAGATCTCGGGCCCCATTGACACATAGTAGGGAAAAGTATGGAAGTCAATGGGGCCCGAGATCTGCTTGGTTACCAAAATTCTTCCAAATATCTTCATCTGTGTTCAGCAGAATAAAGAGGTTTGGAACAACTTGAGGGTGAGTACATTTTGACAGAATTTTCATTTTTGGGTGAACTATCCCTTAAACAGCTGAAACATGCTCGTTTCATAACTGAAGAACTTTTCAACATTAATACTGTTATTTTCTTGTTACCTACCGTGAAGCTGCTTTGAAACAATCAGTATTGTATAAAGCGCTATATATATATATATATATATATATATAAGTATAAAGCTGGCCTTAACTTCCAGCCTGCCAAGTATTTAGCTGGTTTAGATATGAGCTCAGCTGAAAAGTGCCCAAAACCACCCCAAATCCAGTAAACAGACCAGCCTTACCATGCTGGGAGACCAGCAAACAAGTTTAGACTGGTTTAATATGTTTTTTCAGCAGAGATGCATTTTAAATTCAAAGCTTAGTTCAGAAAAAGAAATGTTTGTTTGATGATCATGTGTTGACTTTCAAAGAATAGGTGAAATTGTTATATATTATGCGGTTACATAGTTGGAAAATTTGATTTTCGAGTTACCACAGACAAGAAGGCAGCAACAGGGCTTCACCTACCCCAGAACTTTGGCACAATCATCATAGTACTTCATGGAGTTCTTTACAAAGCTGAAGCCATTAACGTCACAAACAAAAGAGTGGCCATTTGCTCGGAGGAGGTCAAAACCACACACTGTTTGCTGGGTTGGAAAAGACGTTATGAAACAAAAAACTCATTCATTATCATTCTTAACCTTTAGCTACTGACAAAACACTGTGTTTTTCTTTTGCGAGGCTTACCTTAAACGCAAGACACACTTTTCTGGCCACGAGCTTCTCCATTGCGGTTAGCATCACAGGATAGCGGATCTCCTTTCCCTCACTGTCTCTCTCTACTTTCCCATCCAGAGCAGGAGACTTACGGGCCTCGGCGTGAGCGTAGTCAGGCCCTACTGTGTAAACCTACAACATCCATCAGGAATAAACAAACTATCCAGCCACCACATGATGTTTAGACATGAGAAACTTAGGTACCTTAACATCTGTGCCATCTGTTGGCATGAACTCCTCGTAGATGTAAGATCCAGTCTTACGAACGGTACTTTCAGGAGAATACACACTGCTCCGACTGCCAATCTGCAGAAGACGGTATGAGCTCCAGACCAAACAAATCTAAAGTTATTAAAAGTTAAAAGTACCTTTCTAAAGAGACGCTGGCTGCCCCCACCGGCCGAGGTTGGGTAATAGATGTAGACATTGTGGTCCTCGGCGGAGACAGGCTTCTCCACAAAAGGTTTATGAAACACTTCCCCGTTCACTTCCACATGGTCCTCGCTCTCCACCAGGTTACACTCTGATGTCGCAAAGTCAAAATGTCACAATCTTTCGCAATACAAAGAGTATTTATGTACACACTTATGAGGAACTTACAGGGAAAAAAACAGCATATGGGTTTGGAACAAAATGACAGTGAATATATTAAGGTGATGTATATATATAAAATGATGACAAAGGTAAATAACCTTTACCCTCTGGTCTGTCGGGGTCCCTGTTCAACACTGCATAGCGTGGAAGGTCAATGCCTTCTTCCTGTAGAATCCTGTAAACTTCCCTCCTAAAGCCGTGAGCATAGAGTTATGTCTCAGTCAACTCTCCAAACGGGGTTTACTTGTCAATATTATTTCAGAGAAAGATTTACCAGACCTGTCTTGAATGAAATACTGCATGTTGAGGTCGTTGATAAGGAGGGGGTTTCTTAGTTTGGCATAACCCACTGCTTTGTCAAGGGGAAATCCTTCAAGATGAGAAAAAAAAATTGGTATTTTAATGTTACATGGTATAACAAGACTATCTATGGCAAGAGTTCTTTTCAGTCAGTGGATTCTTTTCCACCTGATTATTTTCTTTTTTCCTTTGTATTCCAAAGGACAACATATACAGGTCCTTCTGAAAAAATTAGCATATTGTGATAAAGTTCATTATTTTCCTTAATGTAATGATAAAAATGAAACTTTCATATATTTTAGATTCATTGCACACCAACTGAAATATTTCAGGTCTTTTATTGTTTTAATACTGATGATTTTGGCATACAGCTCATGAAAACCCAAAATTCCTGTCTCAAAAAATTTGCATATCATGAAAAGGGTCTCTAAACGAGCTATTAACCTAATCATCTGAATCAACGAATTAACTCTAAACACCTGCAAAAGATTCCTGAGGCTTTTAAAAACTCCCAGCCTGTTTCATTACTCAAAACCGCAATCATGGGTAAGACTGCCGACCTTACTGCTGTCCAGAAGGCCATCATTGACACCCTCAAGCAAGAGGGTAAGACACAGAAAGAAATTTCTGAACAAATAGGCTGTTCCCAGAGTGCTGTATCAAAGCACCTCAGTGGGAAGTCTGTGGGAAGGAAAAAGTGTGGCAAAAAACCCTGCACAACGAGAAGAGGTGACCGGACCCTGAGGAAGATTGTGGAGAAGGACCGATTCCAGACCTTGGGGGACCTGCGGAAGCAGTGGACTGAGTCTGGAGTAGAAACATCCAGAGCCACCGTGCACAGGCGTGTGCAGGAAATGGGCTACAGGTGCCGCATTCCCCAGGTCAAGCCACTTTTGAACCAGAAACAGCGGCAGAAGGACTGTTGCTCAGTGGTCCAAAGTACTTTTTTCGGATGCAAGCAAATTTTGCATGTCATTCGGAAATCAAGGTGCCAGAGTCTGGAGGAAGACTGGGGAGAAGGAAATGCCAAAATGCCTGAAGTCCAGTGTCAAGTACCCACAGTCAGTGATGGTCTGGGGTGCCATGTCAGCTGCTGGTGTTGGTGCACTGTGTTTTATCAAGGGCAGGGTCAATGCAGCTAGCTATCAGGAGATTTTGGAGCACTTCATGCTTCCATCTGCTGAAAAGCTTTATGGAGATGAAGATTTCATTTTTCAGCACGACCTGGCACCTGCTCACAGTGCCAAAACCACTGGTAAATGGTTTACTGACCATGGTATTACTGTGCTCAATTGGCCTGCCAACTCTCCTGACCTGAACCCCATAGAGAATCTGTGGGATATTGTGAAGAGAAAGTTGAGAGACGCAAGACCCAACACTCTGGATGAGCTTAAGGCCGCTATCGAAGCATCCTGGGCCTCCATAACACCTCAGCAGTGCCACAGGCTGATTGCCTCCATGCCACGCCGCATTGAAGCAGTCATTTCTGCAAAAGGATTCCCGACCAAGTATTGAGTGCATAACTGAACATAATTATTTGAAGGTTGACTTTTTTTTTTGTATTAAAAACACTTCTTTTATTGGTCGGATGAAATATGCTAATTTTTTTAGATAGGAATTTTGGGTTTTCATGAGCTGTATGCCAAAATCATCAGTATTAAAACAATAAAAGACCTGAAATATTTCAGTTGGTGTGCAATGAATCTAAAATATATGAAAGTTTAATTTTTATCATTACATTATGGAAAATAATGAACTTTATCACAATATGCTAATTTTTTTAGAAGGACCTGTACCGCGCATTTGTGGTCTGCTCTCCCGATTTAATTTACGATACATCACATTAATAATTTGCTGGATTGCACTAAGGATCTCTTGTTTTTCTCCCCAAATCCTCACGTCTCTTTCCAGGTTTTTTTCCTGTTGCCAACTATTTTCAATGGAAAGTAGCTAAAGCCCGTTCAAAAAGTCGTTAGATAAAGTCATACGCAAATTAGCATATCCATGACATCATCACGTCGCATTTGCATTTTGTCTAGTGTCAGCCCTTTTCATTTCTTTGCTTCTCTGCGCTCACATTATGTATTTTAATACAGCCAAATTCCAAATAAACTTTTCATCTAGATATATTTATCAGTTTCTGTTGTCAGACAATAGGACGAATATGAATTGTGACTGAATCATGGCCCATTAAGACACACATGGCCCATTAAGACACACATGGCCCATTACTGCTGCTCTGCAGTAAAATCCTCATTTCTAATCGAAACACTGTCTGACAAAATAACAGTTGCTGTAATTTCGGCTATATTTACACATAAAATTATCCCTCAGGTTAGAAGCAACAGAATTTTATTCTTTCTAGAATATCAGTATTCTCACACTAACATAATAACGGTTTTCTGTTTGAATATATTTTATTCCTGTGATGGCAAAGCTGAATTTTCAGCATCATCACATGATCTTTCTGAAATCATTCTAATATGTTGATTTGTTGCTTAAGAAATGTTTATTATTATAAATGTGAAAAACTTTGTGGAAAATGTTAGGCATTTTTGCAGGATTCTTGAAGGAACAAATTTTGAACAGAAATCGTTTTTATTTATTAAAAACGTGTTTACTTTGTGTCAATGTAATGCATCCTTGAATAATAATAATACAAAAAAACTCTTACTGACCAGTGACCCCAAACTTTTCAAACAAAAGTTTACAGTTAACAGTTGTGCCATAATTTCACTTCCCTCATTTGACACACAAACTAACTCTAAAAGGCAGGGCTCAAAGAGTTTCCAATTGGTAAAAGTGACTTTATGATTTACTAATCTAATAAATACAGTCATTATGACATGTTTTGAAGGCAGCATTAATAATACAAGACAATATGGCACATCAAGACTTAAAGATACTGAAAGTGCAAGTGAAACTGTGTGTGATGTCAGATACCTTTGGAATGGAAGGAAATGAGGCAGTCACACAACGGCCACTTCTCCACCGGTTCATGGAGTATAACCTCCTCTGAAAAAATGACCACGGTGATGTACTCAAATTTACAGAGCCTCTCCATAATCTCAGTCATTGGTTTGGAATTTGATTTCTTCATCATGGAGCAGATCCCCACCACGATCTGACCCTCTGCCTAATAAAAGAAGACATCACATGATCATCACAATTCAACAATGCTTATATCCATTAAAAGATCCCATTAATAGGAATATCATTGATCCCTGGGCAATTCCGTACCTGATCCTCCTCCTCATCCTCTCCGTAAGGCCCTGAGATGTTCCTCATGTCTTTGTCATCCAGTTCTCTGCTTTCACCACCCTCACTTCCAATCAGGAAATGGGGGAGTCCGCTCTTGGACATCCCCTGTCCGCTTGACTTTGACATTTCTGTCGAGTCTCTGTCAAACAGTCAAATTCCCAGCACACCATCTTGTGCTGAAGCTCAGTGGTGGAAACATTAGATGAGGTGTGTAATTCAGTTGGATGAGGCTCTAGAAGTGACTTCAACGCTCAGGTTGATTTAGAAAATGATGGTGTGTTTAATCCTTCCAAAACAAGGAATATTTTGAATTTATGCAAATTTATTAATTTCTCTCACAAAATCTCTTCCCGCTCCTTCCTGCAATAAAGTAAGATCCAACACACAATATAAGTTCATATATTTATGCACAACTGTTTAAAAATTAAGTCAGTAAGATTGTTTTTGAAATAAATGAATACTTTTATTCAGACATTTATAAAGTTATAAGATACTTTCTATTCTATTAATTTACAATATACAACAAATGTTAAATTATACAATATTTAATTTACAACTGGTATATGCAGAAATTAATACAATACTGAAAAATTACTATTCTTTGTTATTTCACGTTAACTATTGTGTTAACATATGTAACCTTTACCACATTTTCTTGAATATGTATTAATTTTGCAGATGTTTAATCTAAAATGACATTCAAAAGAGTAGTAAAACAATGGCCTGGTTTCACAGACAAGGCTTAGATTAAGCCAGGATAAGGCCTTGAGACATTTAAGTAGCTTTTTAAAAAAAAAAAAAACATTACTGGTGTGCATCTTGAGACAATACAAGTTGCTTCCAGTTAAGACTGTTTAAACATGCATTTTAGTCTGGGACTAGCTTAAGCCTTGTCTGTGAAACCGGCCATAGATATTAAAACTTTTAGGACAAAATGTGAGTGAAAACTTGCCACCAGAATTCTAGGACGTCAGTGCATTGCTACGTGTTTGCTAGAGTGTTGTGGGTGGTTAAGGTTTTGCTAGTATATCATTCTTGTGCATATAAGGAAAAATAAAAGTAATGTTTGGCTTAGCAAGTGCCACTAATAACGCTAATAAAAATTCTTAAGTAGTTAAACTAAACAAGTCTTACAGTTACACTTGGCCCACCCTTCCCAGTATGCTGACTGCAAGGAAAAGAATGCACTGTTGCATGCATATGCGGTTTCATATCATATTTCCATACCATGCTGATACACGCCATGCTAGCTATCCCTCTAAACAAACATCAAGCCATCCAGATATGAAGGTGATGTGTTCCTCGGTTATATTTTGCGCTTTTTAAGAATACTACAAATTTCAAATACTAAAAACTTTGCATGTGACTTAGGGCCCAATAATAGCCACAGGACCCTGGCAGAGGTGAATCTGGGGGAGGGGGGAGACTTGGATCAAATGCTGAGGCCTGCGGCTTCCAAAGATAACTCATCACGCTGTGGACGTGTTGACAGGGAACATTAAGTTGAGAGGAAGCCGTCTACAGCGACCCAGGGTCAGGCAAAACACACACAGAGATAAACAAACTCATAAATAGCTGTTACTATCACTTACAGCTAAAGCAACAAAGTCCAATATCCTTACAAGATAATATGAAGATATAAGCCTTTTGAAATATTTTTGAACACCTTAACGGACACAACGTTGATCAGAAACCAAAACGAGGTAATAAATGCTTGCAAAAACTCCCTTGGGTAATATAAAATACATTTGACATTTCTGCCTTCTTCTGTTGTCCAATCTAGATTTCGTGTTATGCAAACATTTCAAAGTAAGTGTTCAAGTGCATGTTGAATACCACATACTATGTAAATGTCTACTATGTTTATTCATTTTTCATCCTTAAGTCTACAGATTTCATTATGTTTACATCTCTACAGCCTTGTTAAATGTGAAGGCATTTCTGGAATTGCAAAAAATGCTTCTGAACACACCCCTATCTGCTATTGGTCAGACAATCAGATAGCTCCGCCCCAAACACGTGTTATTGGTTGAGTTGATGTTGCTGTGTTGGGCTGGTCTGAAATTTTGGTGGCATTTACTTAACGCTCCAGCTTTTCCTTTGTGAGGAAATAGCTTATCATTTAGGCTTATGAATCGACAGCCTGTTTGCTAATCTTCAACATGTTTTACACTAAACAATACTTTCGTTGGGAACTAATATGTCGATAAAAATGTTATTTCATGAGAGAAGGCAAAGTAGGGAATGAAGCGACAGGTAGAACTCATTTACAGCATCACCACCAGCAAATGTGTAGTAGTATTTAATAATAGGCATTATGTAATATTGAGTGATATTGTATACAGTATATTGTCTAAAGAAAATAAACAATATCGATGTTTTTTCTGGTTTTACCAATTATAAAAAGACTTGAATGACTATGACTGCCATGCACTATGAGGCTGATATAATGCATTTTAATTAAAAAGAGAGAAAATTTATAATTTAATTATAAATATTGTATTCTATTGTAATTTAATGAATTTTTTTTTTAAATAATGATGTGTTCCCTCTATGGTTTCCAGATTTCAACAAATAAATTAGACTTGAATTGTAATGATGTATGACTGCTGTGTAAGCCTAATAATGATAACGTTTTTTTAATGAATAAAGGTAAACAAAATATAAAGATTTTAATAAATAAATGTATTCTTTCTATAGCTTAATAGCGAAACAACACCAAATATAGAACATTTATTCACAAGACGAACGCAAAACTCTGAACGCTAGCCACTGACATCAATGCCATTATATGATAGGCTGAGGTGCCTCATGTCATCCAAATTAGCCGTTACGCTTTTTCCAATGGTAAGAGCCACAGACCCTCTCACTTCCCAATAACAAGACAATTTCTGACTCGGTGCCAATTTCCGTCTTACGTCATAGGAAACAAATCAGAGGCCAGAACATTTTAAAATGCCAATATGATCCTATGATGAATCTACAGTAGCAGTCCAGCACTTGCAGAGCCAATGACCTTAGAGATCATATCCTGTAAATTGCTTTTATTATTATGACTGGGAGGATTGCCACTATTTAACAGGTTGTCATAAATTATTTATCATTAAAGGGGTGGTTGATTATGATTTCACTTTTCTAACTTTAGTTAGTGTGTAATGTTGCTGCTTGAGTAAACAACATCTGCAAAGTTACAATGCTCAAAGTTCAAAGCAAAGGGAGATACTTTCTTTTAAAGAAATTGCTTTTTAATGACTACAACGGCTACTACACGACATTTCTCCCGGGTTAGTGACATCACAAACCCTAAAATTTACATAAACCCCGCCCCCGGGAACGTGATTTATAGATTATCATGACAGAATATGCTAATCAATGACTAGAAGATAACTACACATAAGCTACATAAATTCATCAACTAACCATTCAGAAATGTCCTGTTGCATTCTACATGTTGTCACTTCTTCCTGAGTCTCTCCATCATTGTCTGACTCCGGTTTGAACATAAAAGGCTAAAAGTTTTTGAAATTTTCAGTGCATGTGTGTGTGAGATAAAAGGACACAAGCTGTTGAAGCTCCGCCCCCTGTGCTGGGAGCAGCATCACATTATTTGCATTTAAAGGGACAGACACAAAAACTGACTGCTCACTCTCAAAAAGTGACAATTTTAACATGCTAAATTAAAATATCTGTGAGGTATTTTGAGTTAAAACTTCACATACACACTCTGGAGACATCAGAGACTTATTTTAAATGGGCATTATACCACCCCTTTAAGATATAGAAGATAAAAGCAGCACTGCAAAACCCTTGCAATTGTATACCAATGACTGAACGTGACTATGATTTATTCATCTAAATATATAACCATGTTATTTTCTTGGAATAAAAAAAATTATTTAAAGTTATGAATATTTTGGTTTTTGTATTTATGTTGACAAACAGCATTTTTTTTTTTTTTTTTTACATTTTGAAAAATGCAATTTATCCATTTACTTAAAGTTATGAATGTTTGCATTTGTTCTTGATGCAAATTAAGTGCAAGAATGTGCATGTATTAAAGTGAATGCTTTACTGTAATTATTAATAATTGCACAACTTATTAATAATGTAGTAAAAATGGAGCAACAAGCAAATTTGCTTGGAGTTGCAGAATATGAAGAGTGCTAAATTGCCCAAGTGGTCCAAAATGGTATATAATTAACTAGCAAGTTAACCATTACCAGTCTATGGTAAGAATCCTTGCGATCCTATAATGCTACTAGATAATAATAAAAAAATCTAAAACATGCTGGGGGTAGGATCAAACTAAGAACATCTGGCAAAGCATATCAGCCATTTTATTCAACGTTTACTCACCCTCATGTCATTCAAAACCATGATATGAAAAAAGAGCAACTTTGACATTATGTTTAAAATCCTATATCCCACAGAAGACAGAAAGTCATACAGGAAGAAATTCTCATTTTTGGATGAACTATCCATTTAAGTGTTTCTTTGGCCATTAACTGAGATTTGTTACCATTTTCAGGAGACTTTTCAGTTTCCCAGGCATGCAACTGGCACATACAGTACCATTCTCACAAATTAAATAACCACAATAAACAAGCATGCCATGCAAAAGCACAGCATGATCAAACATAGTGTGTAGACTGAGATCTGCAGCTGTCAGACTGATGGCTGCATTTTAACAATGCCATATAAGTAGTTATAATAAGTAGTCACAAGAGGCCAGGGAACACGGAGCCCGAGTGCCATGCTGTGGTGGACCAATGAGGAAAAGAAGTCGCAGCACAATGCACCTCATAACTGACAGCTCTTATGCATCTGTTTCTGTGCAATAAAACATAATGACGAGTAAAAAGACACGATATAAGACAAAAGTGAGTTATGGACACAAAATTGGTGTTTATATTGGGCAAATAGAAACAGAAATATGAATACAACATCCTCTTCTCATCGCATCGTATCGAATGACAAGTCAAACAAGTGTTGCAGCGCTCCATCACTCAACCGACTTCATATAAACTCAAGCAGCAGAATATGTCTACAAACCTAAACTTAAGTAAAAAATAAACAGAAACGACTGCAACATGTAATGGTCCATACTGAAGGATACTCACTTGCTTGTAAGAGGAACTCGGTCGCGGACAGTGTTTGACTTCCTCGTCTTCTGTCAGTGTGAAACTAGAGCCTCGCAGCGTGAATTTACCTTCAGAAAACATTTGACAGAAAAGCGCCGTCTTTCGTGCTCTGGGACACGGGAACTTCACACGGATGACTGCCTCCTACAGGACGGGCGAAACAACAGCTTTTGTTTAAGCCCTAACCCTGTAAGGCCTGACATATGAAATAATACCAAAAAAGTATGACCTACTAATCAGACATGTAGTAGTTTGTGGTTTTTCAGCAAAATTTTGATCATGTTGATAATTTAGAGGCCTTATTATGTTTTTAAAACACACTGACAGTCAAGTTTCACCCTTAAACTTATCATTTCTACAAATGCTTACTACAATAAAGCATAGCCTAAGCCTACATGGTGCAATATGTTACTTACAACCAACTTGCTCTCGAATGTTCACTGACTGCTCCATTATGGCGGACGGCTTACGTATAGAGGCCCATTGAAACGGACCCTTATAAGGATATATGTACTGTATATTTATGCTTACAATTATCATGATCCTACCATGTTATCATATGCAAAACCTGAAATTGTAGCTATAGCAAACAAATAGCTGTTCAGTTTGTAGTCATAAAACCCATTAGAAATAGCTGAGGTGAATGGTGAATTGACCTTAAACAAAAAGGGTTACACTATATTTTAAGGTGACATAGTTACATTGTACTTACTCAAATAAGTACTGAGTAATATTAATCAACTACATGTACTTAGAGTTGAGGTTAGGGTTTGGTTTAGGGTTAGTTACATGTAATTATGCATAATTTACTGTTATTACTATAGTAAGTACGTGTAACTACACCTTAAAATAAAGTGTTACCACAAAAAGTAGGTTTCATTATATTCCCAGGTCGTATTTTGAATGCCAATTTTGAAACATCTGTTACAAAATCCAAAGCAGTTTGAATTTAGTTTAAAGACATATGTCTTAATGTCTTATTTTAATTTAATTTAACATGGTCAGCTACTGTATATGCTGGGACATGAGAGTCTTTTATATTTGTAGTAGGCCTATTTACAGAGTATCAATGTTCATTCAGATTAATAGCAAAAAACCTCTACAAAATCACACACACACACACACACACACACACACACACACACACACACACACACACACACACACACACACACACACACACACACACACACACACACACACACACACACACAGCCCTACTGCTTGAGATCATGATTCCCAGACTAAGAGAGCAGCTCTGGCTCCACTGAGGTGAACTGAAGTCTAGACAATGTTCTGATGCCATAGATAAAGTGTCTCTGATGGAAAAATATGAAATGAAATGGTCATTGAAACATGGAGCAGTATTTATAGTGCTTAGATATTGTTCCAAAAAATATATGATAATTGAGTCTTAAATAGAGTGGGAAAAGAGAGGGTCCAATTATTGTTTGTTTGTTTTAAAAGAATGAAACTAAATTATTATAAAAATCTAATAATTAGAAAACCATTTAAATTAGTAATACTATAATAAACAAATTATTAAAAATAATAAATAAATAAATAATTTAATTGTGTAAACATTAGATTACATTACATGCTGTTAGTATAAATTTCCAAAAGTCAAATCTATTATTATCTATTATTTATAATAATATTATTATTATTATTATTATGCATTTTATTTTAGGCGCCTTTCTTGACACTCAAGGTCACCATATATGGATGTATGGTATAATAATACAATTAAATTATTATAAAATTGTAAAAACAACAACTAAAACAACAAAAATAATAAATTCATTATTAAACTGAACCATAAACAGCTAGCTTAGGTAATAATTTTAGTTTAAAAAAATACAATATTTAAACTTCATACTTTATTATGTAAAGTGTAAATGTAATGTAGAAGTAAGTAGGCCTATATGACTCTGTACATCAATAATTATTATATTAATGGCTTTGCAATGTAAGAATCAATGTTAGCAAATTACTGTAGTATGCTACTGTAAATACAAATGCCCATAAGCCATGTTTACTGTCTATATATTATTTCTAATAATTAAATCAAATTATAAGACATTAAATAAATATGAAACAAATAAATAATAATAATAATAATAAATAAATCAATTAAATTATTTGTGTAAATACCAAGCAATTAGCTTAGGAAATCATTTGAATCTTACATATTCTGACTTCATGCATAAATGTCACTTTAATTCATATATATTAATACATTCGTTTAAAAAATAACCTCTCTGTAACCCGTCAGTTGACCACTGAATGCTCATATACATCAGCAGGGGTCCGTTGCTGTGACATCTCCATAATACCTCCATTCATTTAAACGAAACCCAGTAAAAAGACTGCTTTCCCCCCCTTAACGGACACCGAAAAGCTGTGTCAATACCCTGTTGAGCAGGCGAAATGGGAAGTGAGTCAATGCGAGCTTGTTCAAATCCAGGCCCTGCATCAAATTGGGGTGAGGTTTGAGAGTTTGGGTTCAAGATCTGCGCTGGGGTCAAAGAGGACAATCAGGTGTGTGTGACTCACTACAGCATGTACGATCACAATTGATCACATGTCAATCAGTTCACCGTAGTAAATAAGGGGTGTTTCCAATCAACACACACATAATAATGAATAATTTAAAATATAAGCTTTTTTTTTAGCTTGAGATGTGTCATGTAGAGTGTTGTCGAGAGGCCTGGGAGAAGTTTAGGAAGGCTCAGTACAATGGAGTGGTTTCAAAAATGCCAGTTGTGCTTTATTTTGGAAACGACAGCTCACAAGGTGCAGTCGAAGTGCAAAACCCCCCCCCCCAAAAAAACAAAAAATAATAAAACTTAATCCAATACTGGTGCTAAAAACAAAAGAAAAAATGCTGTGAGCAGCAAAACATGGCACTAAACAATGCCTATAGTGGCACATCCACAAAATTATCATGTCTCACCTCAAACATGTTCAATCGTTTGCACAGTATACACAGAATGCAACATTCCTCTCAAACCTGACCAGACAATGGTTTAAATACACAAGTTTCCCGCCAAACACTAGTGGGACGAACCATTGTCACGGGGTGGAACCTTTCCTCGTAACACTCACTGAATTCCACAGCAAAACATTGGCACATAAATATAACTAATGTTCAAGAACTCATTTCTGACATTCAATAATCATAATACAAACAGGCATAACATACAATCACAAACTCAAACATTTAACACCTCATAGCACTCATGCCTCTCTAACCATCTTGAAACATGGTTATGCGCCAAAACCCAACTCCAAAACACTGGCTCAGACAGGTAAGATCTAACATGTGCTATAATATGCAAATGTATCTACAATAAAAAAATAAAATAAAACAAACAATGGTTCTCTATCATCAGTCAAACATTAACACGTTGAACACTTAATGTTGGAAATTTCCATCCACATTTACATTGTCAACATATTCCTGCAATCAGCACACCAAGTAAATTCAAAATAGCACTAGGCTGGCACTCTAGTGATGATGTCATTGACCTGGTTCATCATCACAAGATGTCAGACCACTAATGACTATGAATCAACCATTATATATAAGGTCTCTAAACGTTTCAAAAATTGTCAGGACATTTTCAGGGCAGCCAAATTAAGACATGAAGCAGACAAGTATATTTTTGCACTATGAATCCTCTGTTTCCATAATTCATTTGCCAGGAGCTAAATGCGAAGATAAGCCTACTTGCATTGGCACTTGACCAAAGAACAAGAATATTAGTCATAAAGAGATCACACAAATATTAGGTTTGGTGGTTTGTCAAGGTCTTACGTTATCGTGACATGATTTAAAACAGTGTATCTCTTCATTTTATGGCCAGTTTAGAGGCTGGTACACTTTACCTCTTACACGGTGTCCATTATGCCAGCGTTTCTCAAAAACAGCAATGGACCCTCATACAGTATTTCAAACGATCCTCAGGGAACATCTAGAACAAAATATGCTCATTAATGTAAGCAATTTCTTTTACGTAATAAATGACATTTTCATAAAATGTACAGCCCCTCTGCAATTACATCAGGGACAACTATAGGCCCAAAGACCCCTGATTTTATGATTTATTAAATTACGTTAGTATATTAAAATGAACTACATGTATGCAACACAATTAGAACAGATGTAGAAGTTCTAAGCCATATTTCAGTCATTTGTGAACAAAATTTTTCTATCCCATGATTACCCTCATCCCAAACAAAAACTGAAGCATCAGCGGTCCTTGACAGACCTGAAATTTGTCACCTCAAAGAAAACGCTACTGTTTTTCATCCCTTCCACATGTTGGTCTGCAAAATTCACTCTGATGAATATGTGTTTCTCGGTTTCGTTTTAGAGAGCAATCAGGGCTCATCCTGTCAACAAAAAAAATACTGTCATGATGGTCTGAATGACATCTTTTAAAGCTTTTTCACAAAAAATATTAAGAAGTACAACTGCTTTCAACATTGATAATAATACGCAAACATTTTTTGAGCAGCAAATTTAGACTGATTTCTGAAGGATCATGTGACACTGAAGACTGGTGTAATGATGCTGGAAATGCAGCTTTACCGTCACATAAATAAATTACATTGTAAAATATATGGGGGAAAAAAATCATTTAATTGCAAGAATAATTCATTCTATAGAATAAACTGTGATACAATTTATAAAATAATAAAAAATAATCTAGTTATCCAGCTCCAAATGACAGTACACATTCAAGAGCATTTAAACCTGCAGTACAACACATATATTGATATAGCAATTTAGATGATGTCACCACTTTACCTGTTCATAACTGTTAACTAGTCTCCAGGGCATGTGAAATCCTGTCCCTAATGAACTCCCCCACCCTCCACCACATCGAACTTCACTAAACTAACTAAGCACGTTATACGGGTCAACTTTTCACCCCTAAGCCCAGACAATACCTGCAATTCACTGACTTCTGGAATATATTTAGAAATAAACCTAAGCGGTCACTCGTGAGACCTCTAAGGTTGTTCGATTCGTAAAGTAGCAACACAGAGCAACAATGTGCTAGTATGAGAATCAACAAGCACAGTTTGTGTGACCAGACACAATATGTTTTTGTTTGACCCCTCTGGGGTTTTCAAGGTAATTAAGTTTTTATTTTACACACATGGTTAATAATTCACACATGTGAATATATTGCAGGTTTTGTATATGTTGCATGTAATGAGGTGTGCCAGGGCATTGCAGGTCCCTTCTTAGGACATTATAGATGTGGCTGTAGAAAGTACCTGTGGGAAATGTTTCCTATGGGAATTTGTAGAAGTCTGAAGAAAACATTCAAAGTGTATCCAAGCATTTTTTACGTAACTTCTACTCTGCTCTGTTAAATGTCTGAAATGTTGGACGTTGTGTTTTCTCTAACATAGCCAGTCTTATCACACTGCCTGTGACAGGGTTCATGGGTTTAAAACTAAAATTTCAGATTTCTGACCATATAACCTATAAGTATGGGTGATGGATTCTATCACACTGTTTTATTGAATTAATTTATGCGCCATAGCGAGCAAGTTCAGTTGCAGTATCCAAGATAATCAACTTGGTTGTGTATGTGAAGAATATAAAATACCTATTGGCCAAAGGAAGTTTCTTCCCATATAAGGATACGAGAGTATCTCACACTTCAAAAACTTGCAGAAAAACTTGGTGAGTCAGCACTTTAAAGTTTGAACTGTGAAATTCCAGCACCATCAGACGCAGACTGATATTTGGTTGAGAGATTCTTGCAAGCTTTTCCAGTGTCCCTAAATATACCAGACCAAAGGCCCGCGATAGAGCTATAAAACCTGTACTACACAGGAAACTGAAGCTTAGACATATATTTCCACAGTAGAGTCATCATATTCACGCCCACCTGATGATGAAGACTCATAAACTGTTGACAAATATTAGTGATATTAACTTAAATACTGGTATGAAACTTTATGATGGTTATAGTGAAATTGGGGTTCATTGGAACAATTTTCATTCATTGTTGATAATGTCCGATGAAAGAAACATTTTATTGGGTTATTTTTAATAAGTCAGCTGCTGGGTAATTTTTACTGTCAATACAAATGACCCCCTCACATACCTATTCAGTGCTGGGTCAATGTGACCCAATGTTTTGTAGTCTCTGCCAAACCAGTTCAAACTGGATAAATTTGTCAATGGTCATTTTGTGTTCAGAAAACATCCTGAGTGGAAATTTCCAGAATGAATTTAAAGGTTGTAATACAGTGTTTTTCTATCAAATTACTACAAACAAATAGGAACACGTCTGTAGTCGCACATGGGAGCGCTAGTGCACTAGCATCGCAGGGATGTGTTCACGTTATTTGTTTCATGGGTCAGAATCTAAATGTCTGACAGATGAGATAGCAAAAGGTAAAGCTGTTTTGATGCAGATTTTGCAAACATGAATATAAGTTTAAGATTGAACTGGAAGAGCCTACTGATACCAGTTTTCTTCCCACAGATTCCCATTGGCTGCTCCTGTCACTTACTAAACTATTTTGCTATTATTGTAAATGACCGACTTGCCATTGAATAAAAAATATTTTATACGATTTTTAGAGTGCATTTTTATTATTTAAAAAGAAAAACTTTCAATATCAGGTTGATTGACCCGGCACTATGTTATAACCCAGAAAACGGGTTAATGTATAAAACAAAAAGCTGGGTCAAAATAACCCAGCATGTGTTCTGTCCAATATTTCACCAGCACCGGGTTGCCAAATAACCCAGAAATGGTTGTTTTAAACCCAGCCTTTTTTTAAAGTGTAAGTGCAAATGCAAATGAAATTAAATGTAAAACCCAGACACATTCAATGTTAACAAGTAACTTTTATATCCTATCTTTGCGAGATTTTGAACTTTTAATTTTTTAATCAATGATTGTGGGTAAAGAGGACAAGCACATAACACTTGTGTGAAAACATCCTATTATGGCCCAGAACTGAATCCTGTGCCAATCAAATCCTCTAGCCTATCAACGCAGTCTCCCCTAAAGTTGTGATTTGAAAATTCAGTATGCCACTCAGGGAATGGGAGTGGGGACTCAATAGTCCCCACTCCCATTTTTCTACCTCCCTCTACCCTTTTCTGTCTCTCTCTCCCACTCACTTTGCTAAACTTGTGCCCAATTTGAATTAGAGCCCTTTCTGCTCCTGACTCACACAGGGAAGGCAAGCAGTCCAAAAACACCGGAATTTAGAAATTTCCCAACAGATTAATGCAAGACACAAAGACACTGCAAAGAACAACTAAGACAAGCAAGAAGGGACAATACTAGTTTGGTAAGTTAAAAAAATATATATATATTTATAGTTATTAATATTGATGTAGCTTAAAGTTTGAGTTTATACAGTAAATGCATTATTTGATATATGTATGCACAGCAATATGTTTATTTATTATGTATTTATTTGTCTATTAGTATTAAATTAGTTTTATTGATTACTTCTCAAATTCCATTATTTTATTAATATTCAAATTTAAAGCATGTGATTAGAATGATAAAATTCAATATTCAAATTCAAATTAAATGATATGGCTATATCTATTATATTTTCTTTTATCTATTATATTAATATCTAACCAGCATCTACTTTTTCTTTAATTTCGTCGAAGTAATTACATTGAGGTTTGGGTTTTTGGGTGCAAATGGCAGTTGTATCTTTTTTTATACAATTTCAAGGCAACATGGTTGTTGCGGTTTTATAATTTGCATTTAAAACATTAGTTATTATTTCTAACTTTTCATATTGCATGTAAAATTCTCCTGATAAGGCTGGGCAAGGCGTGTCGTAGGTGAAGCTTCTAAATTGATTGCAAGTGCATAATAGTTGTGATCTATGACCTAACGCATGCCGATAGCTTATACTGTATGTAGTATGTTCATGTACGAACATAACATACATTCACTGTACCATATTACAGTACTAGGCTTGCTTACCTGCCACTCTGTGTATTGAATGTGGACAGTGTTCTGGTTCTGTGGCTCTCTTGGGGGTTTGGTAATGTAGGGGCTCCTGTGGAATACAGCGGAGTGTTTACATTGGCTTTAACGCAGGCCTGGGTCCATGAGCACAGACCACAGCAGGAACAGAACTCTGCTTATTGGCCTGAGCCTGATGGGAAGAGAACACACCACACTGGCTGAATGGAGATACTGTGGAAGTCCTCTCTCCACCTCTACTTGACAAGACCAGAATATAACTGTAGACGTGAAGTGGCATTTGAAAGGCACATGTGACTGGTCATTTTAAAGAAGGCAGGACACAGTTGACTGTAAGACTAGAGTTGGAGCTAGCCAGTAAGCAGATATACTTATAAAGAAGTAATTAAATTTAATTAAATAAAAAACTTTAATTAAAAGTATTCATATGAATAAAATGCAGTTGTTTTTATACATCCTGACTTGAAACAGTCCATTTTGGTTGTAAAAAAGAAAAGTCATCATTCATTCACTGTGGGACGTTATTTATTCCTCTGGAATAGAATGTAAACTTGTCTTCATGACAGAGGAGATCCTCCATGACTCACCTCAGACAGCTGAAGTAACATATTTCCGTCTATCAAGCAGATGTTGAATGTAGTGCTTCTCACCTCACACAACCTATTTGTGTGTGTGTGTTCGCGTATGTGGTGTGAAAAACATACTTTCATTTCAGAATCTATTGGAAATAGAATAAATAGATTAAAATATAAAAATAAACGGCCAAGCTATACCGACTACAGATTTTTGTCTCTCAGTGCAATATAAACCAGTGAAAGCATGTTCGAGGTCTCATTTACTTGTATAGGAAGTGGTCTTTTGTTCTTAGTTCTGGTCCAGTAAAACAGAAGTAAGGCATTAGAGGTGGGAGATAAAAAGCTGCTTCAGGGCCGTGCCAGGATGGAGGTCTCCTACAGTCACTCAGTGCATTTAAAACAGCTTGATTCAGAAAACCTGAGCAGCAGCCAAGAGGGAAAATTTAGGCAAAGTGGTAAATTATACACTGTGGTCATTATCAAATTTAACTGTAGCATTTATATATCATACAAGAATTTTTTTTTTTTTTTTCAGGGAGATTTGACCGTAGCCATTGATTAAAATTCAACTTACCAAGCTCAGAACACTTCCTGTTGCACAAACAGTGAACTATTCTTCTTTAGAGAGAGACAGAGGGAGACAGAGTGTATGTGTGAACATTTAAATGGAAGAGTGAATTAATGACGTCATGTTTCCAATCTATTCCAAATTTCCACCCAGAGTACAGTAGCTCAGTCAGGCCGTGTGAAGACTCGGAAACAGAGAAACTCCCTTTGAAATGACTTGAGTGATTTGCTCAGTTCAGTGTGCCCTGGATACATGCTCAGAATTTTTTTTAGCAAAACTTGTACCTTTAGGGGTACAACATCTTGTCACTGGGACATTATCTTTAAAGAAACATCTGTGTACCTTATCTACCCCTAAAGGGTTTATAGTAGTACCTTAAGCCAGGGTACTTAATACTAATGTGCAACTTCAAGGTTTATAAGAAACAAAGTTGCGTCTTTAAGGGTACTGCCCCATTGATAAGCTGTTGTACCCCTAAAAGTACTATACAAGTTATAATTTTTTTCCTGACAGTGTATCTTGTTCTGGCTATTGAGGCTTTAGTACAATGCATCACTGTTGAATATTAGCCATACGTGCATGGTGCCGTATGAATTCATGAAAAATGAAAAAACTACTCTTTTTCTGTATTTTTTAAGGTGAATCATGTCTCTGACTTGGCTTCTGCTGTATACATGCATCCATGCCATTTATGGCATGATATTTTTCGGAGACATGGCTGGTAGGTGAACATTTGGTGCATTTTGGATGGCTATGTTTCTTTTAAATGAATGAGAATTTCAAAAAGTTATGTTGTACAGATCAGGACAGCACCCTCAGTGTGAGCATCCCTGTGGAACAGCCACTGCACCCCCTACTTGGCGGGAGCATGGTCATACCCTGCTACTTTCTGGACAACACTGTCCAGGACCCTGGTGCCCCAACCATCGCCCCACTGTCCCACCGTATTAAGTGGAGCTACATCTACAAGGGCAGAATATCCCTTATTCTGGTTGCCACCGGTGGCTTGGTGCACGTTCAGACCGACTACTTGGACCGGGTTCATATGGTAAACTACCCCATGGTGCCAACTGATGCTACTATTGAGATCTCAGAACTCCGCTCCAGTGACTCTGGCACCTACCGGTGTGAGGTCATGCAGGGGATTGAAGATAACTATGATTCAGTGGGAATGCAAGTTCAAGGTAATGCACTTTCAAACTTTTCAGGCAAAATAAAGGACATTTAACAAATATATAAATAACAGAAAGTGAGAATTAAATTAATGGGTCAAATTTTTACAGGTATTGTGTTTCACTACCGAGCTATTTCTACCCGATATACATTGACATTTGAGATGGCAAAAGCAGCCTGCATCCAGAACAGTGCTGTTATTGCTACTCCCGCACAGTTGCAAGCTGCCTATGATGATGGATACCATCAATGTGATGCTGGCTGGCTTTCAGATCAAACTGTGAGGTAATATGAAAAGGTCAATATCTAATAACTATATAAATAAAAACCACAAGCAGTCAATACACAATCAATACAAAGGAACTATAGAAAAATCTCATTCATTCTCCATAGGTATCCTATTCATGAGCCAAGGGAGCCTTGCTATGGAGACAAAGAAAATTTTCCAGGGGTACGAACATACGGAGTCCGAGACATCAATGAGACCTATGATGTGTACTGTTTTGCAGAAAAAATGTCAGGTACCTCAGGCAGTGTTTCCAAAATAAAATGTAACTAGTTGGTGCGTTTTTGCTATGTTTTACTTTATGGATTCTCCTCGTCATCCAGGCAAGGTTTTCTACTCCATGTCTGTGGAGAAGTTCACCTTTGCAGAGGCTGAAGATCAGTGTGCAAAGTTGGGAGCCCAATTAGCCACCACGGGGCAACTGTACCTGGCATGGAAGACTGGCATGGATGTGTGCAATGCTGGCTGGCTAGCAGACCGGAGTGTGCGGTACCCCATTAACATAGCTCGACCCCAGTGTGGAGGGGGGCTTTTGGGAGTGCGAACGGTTTACCTGTTTCCAAATCAGACTGGTTATCCATACCCAGACTCCCGCTATGATGCAATCTGTTATGAAGGTAAGAACAGAGAATGTATTTCATATATTAGCTTATTGCATTTTTGTTTTTTGTTCGCTATATCATTTAAAATCATTTACACATTCCAGATCAATCATATCATAAAATCAATAAAGGAATAGAAACTCAAAAATGAAAAAAATACTATTAACTCACCATTGTTTTATTCCAAAGCTTATACCTATTTTTCCATGCAGTTGCAAAGAATAGGCAAAGATAGAGCATCCAAGCAGATCCAAGTCCTGATATGACTCAAAAGAGTGTAAATTCTCACAAACATTGTCAATTATTTTTCAGAAGACACTAATAAAGTTTTAACAAAGACCTCACCATTTCCTGAAATATACACTACCACCGATTCCATGTTCAGTGTGGCTACAGTCACCTCAAGCCCATCAGACTATACTGAAGACGTGACCACAGAAGGGGAGGCCCGTGGGCAACTGGTTACAGATGAGCCTCTTAACACCACAAGCATAGAAAGTCCCCTACTACTACCTTACAACATAACTGAGGTTGAGGAGGATGCCATCAAAGTGGCCACAGCTCTGCCTTATCTGGGATATGAGATTGCCAAGGACAATGTCACAGCTAGTAAGTAAACTAAACTGGATCCAATGTGTGAGATAGCCACATAATGTTAGCACTGTAAATGCCAATGCAATCACACATACCACTGAAGGACCTTATACCGACATAACATGAAATTATTGAGCCAAAAAAAAAAAAAAAAATTGCATGCACAGAATTACAGTTTTTAACTCCTTAAATGGTTCCCAAATATTAAATATGGCCAAATCTTTCCTCACCCTAGAAACGAAGGGAGTGGTATTCCACTATCGGGCTGACTCGAGGCGCTATGCTTACACCTTTGAGGAAGCACAAGTGGCGTGTCAGAAGCTGGGAGCAGTCATAGCCACCCCTGAGCTCCTTCAGGCTGCTTATGAAGCTGGCCTTCATCAATGCAGTGCAGGTTGGCTACAGGACCAAACTGTCAGGTAAACATATTTTTCACAAAGTACTGCCCTAAATGCTTACTCCATTTGTTTCTGCTGAATTAACTAGAATCTTGGCTCACATACTGGCATGTTGACAGACACCATATGTAGTATTCTACATTGTGTTTAGGTATCCAATCGTGGATCCTCGAAAGAAGTGCTCTGGAGATCAGGAGGACACCCCTGGTGTGCGCTCCTACAATGTTAGGCCTGCACATGAGCGTTACGATGTGTACTGTTACATGGACCAAATAAAGGGTGAGTACAAGTTTATTCATGACAATTATACAATTGACATATTGTATATTTAATCGTCTATAATCTTGCTGTTTGGTCTTTATCCCTTAGGGGAGATCTTCCATGCAAGTTCACTAGCAGGTTTCACCTACTACGAAGCTGCTGCCCATTGCAGAAAACTGGGTTCTACTCTAGCCTCAACTGGAGAACTATATGCAGCATGGAATCAGGGTTTCCACAAGTGCAGTCCTGGCTGGCTGGCTGATCGCAGTGTCCGCTATCCTGTGCGCAACCCAGGCTTCGGTTGTGGTGAAAACAAGACCGGAGTCAACACTATTTATGCTGAACCAAACCAAACAGGCTTCCCAAACCCATACTCCAGATATGATGCATACTGCTTCAAAGGTATAAAAGCTTTTAAGCCTGCATGTATGAGTTTCCATTGAAAGACAAGACTGGGTGTTGATCTTGGAGATTCTTATTTATTTTTCAGCAAATTTGTCTATGCTCCTTGATGAGGATATGTTGAATGCTACAAGGATAGAGAAGGATCTTAACATGACATACCTTCAAGAGCTGCTGAGACCTGGTATCAAATATATTTGATTTCTCCACTTCCTACTGCTAATTTATGCTGCATTATGGTCATATTTAGGCATGCTTACTTTCAGTAATATGTGTTACAGTTCGTCCAATTGTCCCTCCCTTGATTGTGGACCTGTCTGGATCTGGATCAGGTTCAGCATCAGGAGATCCTGATTCCAGTTCTGGATACATGTCAGGGAGTGGCATACCCAGTGGGAGCATCTCAGGTTCTGGCCAAAGTGGTGAGGGATCAGGTCACCTTGTGAGGTTCCAAGAAGGTGCAGATACACTGATATTGCAGACTTCTGCCTCAGGCAGTGCTTCGGAGGCTAAAGAAGGTAGTGGCAGTGGTAGTGGTGCTATCATTGCTTCAGAAATAGAATCAGGGGACCAAGAATCTGGAGAGGAGTCTGGCCTCTTCCAAGCACAAAGTGGAGCTAGTGGCCTTCCATCGGGACTCAGCAGTGGAATTAGCGGTTCAGGAACAAGTGGATTCTTCAGTGGTGGGGAAACGAGTGGGTCAGGTGTGTCATTTATAGACACAGAAATGATTGATCTGACTGCAAGACCGTCTGGAGAACAGGAATTGTCTGGTATAAACCCATTTGACTTGACTGATATTAGTGGTTCTGGCTTTCCCTCTGGCTTTGGATCTGGCTCTGCCATTGACTTTGGATCTGGCTCTGCCTCTGGCTTTGAATCTGGTTCTGCCTCTGGATTTGGATTTGGATCTGGCTCTGCTTCTGGCTTTGGGTCTGGTTCTGCCTCTGGATTTGGATCTGGCTCTGCCTCTGAAACCTCAAGTTATCCCAGTCAACCCTCAGGTGAGGTGTCTGGCCACATTCAGAAACAAGATGGAGAGATTGTCATTCTAATAGACAATGAGGTAATTGAGTTGACATTTAGTTCTACCATTGGACCAGAACAGGGTCGTGGATCAGTGGAGATCAGTGGAGAGGGCAGTAGTCAAGCACAATATGTTGAGGAGATCTCCATATCTCTTTCTAATAGAACTTTATATGAAGATTACTGGAATCCCAATGAAGCAGATGATCCCCTACCAGAAAGAAATGAGCAACTTAATTTCACCACACAGGTGTCTGATCAGTCACCTCTGAACACCACACCACCCACCACTGTATTCACCACTTCACCTTCAGCTTCACAACAAACGTCAAAAGCTATGGAAGAGCCATCTGTTACTAATGGTAATAACTGAACAAAAATATCCTTTTGTTGTTATTCAACTAGTGTACAACAACCTTCATATTAACATTTGGAAATTAAGGTGAATATATCTATCTTTGGCAGCTTCTGCTAACTCCTGTGATCCAAACCCCTGTGGTCATGGTTTATGCTCTCTACAAGATGGCAGTGCAGTATGTCTGTGTCATCCAGGATTTAGTGGGGAAAACTGCTCAACACGTAAGTTAAAAGTCAGAGCATATTAAAAATAACTGACCACAAACATACCATCGTGTTATGTACTGCATCTGTTGTGACCTAAGGAAAGATTTAACCATCCATCTCTATTTCCTTTGTCTTGCTGTCTTTTTACTTCCTAAACATACACTTCCTACACATCTTACATGAAATTATAAATCCTAGGGGGTGTATGTTTATGACTGATGTTTATGACTTACTAGGGTATTTGAAAGGAACACATTTTGCCTAGTGAAGTACCCAGATATAACCCTGCACAGTGTATAGAGAGCAGTGAAAACTGCACAGGGACCCTGTGAGTTGGAACGCAGCCTGTCAGTTTGGCGTAACTAGCCACCCCTTAAAGAATACATAATAAAAACTATATGAAATTCATTGCTTCTTTTGTGTTGTCAGTGATAAAGGGATGTGCCGAGGGGTGGATGGAGTTTATGGGCAGCTGTTACATCCATTTTGATGAGCGTGAGACCTGGACCAGTGCTGAGCAGCGCTGTCAAGAGCTAAACTCTCACCTGGTTAGCATATCCTCCCGACAAGAACAAGAGTTTGTAAGAAGTGAGTTGAATTTGATTTCTTATAAAAGATAAGTACCTGCTTTTTGAAAGCACTTATACATTTCTAAACCCACTAGCTCAAGCTCACGACTATCAATGGATTGGACTAAATGACAGGGATGAACAAAATCAGTTTCGCTGGACAGATGGAAGTCCTATGGTGAGACTAACTTTCTCTACATTTTTTTTTTTTTTCAGAATTGAGTAACATCTATGATCTGAAGGATCTGCAGTATGTCATTGTTTCAACTAGTGCTACTTTCTCTGCAGGAATATGAAAACTGGAGACCCAACCAGCCAGATGATTACTTCAGCACAGGAGAAGACTGTGTTGTAATGATATGGCATGAGGATGGCCAGTGGAATGATGTACCTTGCAACTATCATCTTCCTTTTACCTGCAAGAGTGGGCCTGGTAAGAAGAGGTGATAGACATTAACTTCAGCACCAAGTCGGCCCCACCTAATCAGCTATGTGAGCTCATTAAATAGCTACATCACAATAGCTATTTAATGACATTACAGTCATTATGTTATGTTTATTACCAATGGATATTGTAAATGCAAAGCAACTACTATTCCTTGTTTTAATAGGAAGGAAACGTTTTTTTGCTATTTTGTTTTACTCTTTTTACTGTAGTCACATGTTCATCACCTCCTGAAGTGAAGAATGCCAGGATGTTAGGCAACAGGAAAGATCGCTACCCTGCTAACTCCATCATTCGATACCAGTGTGACAGCGGATTCACACAGCGTCACCTTTCTGTAGTGCACTGCTTACCTGATGGTCAGTGGGAGGAGCCTCAAGTGGAATGCATAAAAGGTTAGTATATCCCACACACGCTTGAAGAAAAAGTTAAGGTTAGTATGTTATGTTTTATGGAGTAAAGTTCCAACTCAAAAGTCAACAAAATGTTTGTGTCCATGTTATTACCTACTTCAACAGGCAAAACAAACAACAGGCTACGGAAAAGATTCCTCAAGGCACTTACCAAGGCAGTCAATGGTCAGACGTGGAGGAAGGTCCTCTAAACAGGATGAAAAACACACACTTTAATACATCCAGAGGACTGTTATCATCTGTACAGAAGCCTTATTTACTCAAAAGAAAATCTCAATGACAAGGGAATAACCTTATGTAGTGACACACTTTATTTAGCCTGTCTGGCTGGCTGATTGGTTTACAAGTTCTACTCATAGCTCTGTTTTGGGGAGAAGAAGAAAAAAAGATATCTGTGTTCATTTAAATTTATTTGGCATTTTAGGATTGTATTTCTACCACTTTTTACCCTAACCCATAAATGCTAGGTCACAAGAGATAATCTAATCTATAAAGAATATTAAATTGCACAGAGTGCCATTTATAAAACCTAAAAAAACAGGAATTTACTTTACCATTAGCGCATTTCCCTCCAGGCCACAAGGTGACACTAATGCTTACTTGTGTGAGCACTTTCCCATTATTTGTGATTTGAGGCTATGTTCAGAATTAAATACTAGCTTACTACTTTCTGAATATGGCACAGTATACTGTATACTGTATACAGTATACTGCCTACAAGTTTTTTTTAAAGGGAAATAGTAGGCATTGAATCGTCACATGACCTATTACTTTGCATATGAGAAGCATCAATAAAATTAGCATACAAGTAGTATAGCATTATGCAATTCCAAACATAGCCTCTAGAACTGTCCATTATGTATCCCAATTTCCATACTCCTATTACGTACTTAAAGTATGTACTTCGCCAGTGATTGGAAAATGCAATTTTTTTTAATATGTAGAAACACAATAACAGTATTGGGATATTTTTTATTGTTTAGTATTGTTGCATATTGTTTGCATTTGAATGTAAGCATTAGGATGAAGCTACACAATTAGCTTAATTTTTCGGTTCATACATTTACATGTGGCAGGATTGACCTTGCATTCCTTGTTATTTAAAAAGAGGAGACAAGGGTTGTGAGCAATATTAGCCCAAAAATAAAGCACAGATGCACTTCAGAAATCTGCCAGAAATAGTGTAACATCCAGGCACCTTTGGCATACTATTTTCAACATACTATGATTTGAGATGCAAAAAAAATGTATCTGCCATACTATTTAGGGTAGACAGTGTTGTGATTGGGACAAAGTCCAAAAACATCTGTGTATTAGGATGCACAAATGTAACATTGTCTATGTACCCCTGGATAATACTTAAGTTCAGAACAAGACAAAAGGCTTTAATGATCACAGCTGGAAACAATTACATTCAAGTGCATTAGTATTTCAAATTCTTCAATTAAGATGTGTCTTTTTTATTTGTTTTGTTGTTTCTTGTTAGCCTGGTTAAAACCATAGACTGGTTAAAACCAGACCATTATCAGTTGTAACTGAGTTATGGTCTGGCAAAGCGTCATAGACAAATCATTTCCAGAGGGGCGTCACCAACGGACGTCGCGGATAGACCTAAAACCAATCAGAGCGATGAAGGAGATGACGTATGCAGAGCGGCGGAAAAAACATCTCCGAGTGTTGTTCTTTGCTCGGTTTTTAACTAAAAGGAAACGTTCAAATCGCTTAAAACAGACGCGATAGCTGATTCGAACGAGTGATGTTCGACGGCGGCATCCATCTTTGTAATGTAGGTAGGCTACAAAATCTGTAATCGTGTAAAGCCCGCCCCAACGTTTCTGATTGGTGCCGCGATTTCGGCGGATTGGAAATGAGCTTGAATGAGTTCTTTGGCAGACTAACTTTCAGAGCAAATCTAAATTTGCCGGAAGTTGTCTGGGTTTTCCCAGGCTAGTTTGTTGTAGTATAAAATAAATGTTTAAATATCTAGTTGTATCTCAGTGAAACTGTGAAAGATAAATTCCCCGGCTTCTTCTAGGTCTGATTTTAGGTCAGCTTGCAAATGTTTACTCAGACTAGAAAAATATAATATCCTGTCTACATTAGCTGTAGTGATAAAATGATATTTGTGACCTTTCTGTCACAGGAAGTGAATGGCTGCTAGTGGCACTTATTCCATGTTGTGCAATGCATTAGCTTTTACTTAATTTATTAATTCACAAGTTCACATGATTTGTCTTGGCCTTCATAACAGACTTGAGCTCTAATATAAATGAAATTTAGAAGATATCAAACAACCTAATTTATGTCTCTAGAGACAAGCATGCATATTCAAATGAGCATAAAGCATCAGAAAACAAGACAAGAATTTTGAAATGGCCTAAAAACGTTAAAAAGTTAATTTGCATATTAACCCCCTGGGGTCGGCTATCGCGCCGGCGCGATAGGCAGACTTTTTTTCTTATCAGTGCAAAAGAGACTCAAAATACTCTGTTGATTTTAATCTTACATGTAAGTGTTATACATCAGTCGATCCTGTTTAGTGTATATTATTTTTCTGTATACTCACAATAAAAACAAAGTGTTGTGCTTTTTGTCAAATGAAGAAAAATAAACATGATGCGAGTTTTGCCTTCTCTCTGTCAGTGCAGTCCATTCTGAAACGCGTCCGAAAAATTAACTCTAACTCTGCAAATACTTGTCACACAGGCACGAGAGATTTTTCTTTATGAAGCTTGAATTCTCTTCTTTTCAATGAAGTAATTTATATAAAAAACAAATATTCTCAGTTTATGTAATCTGTATGAAAAGAGAGTGCTGTCAGAATTTTTTACCCCAGCTCATTACACTTCATTACGCGTTAATCTGACACGCCCACGGAGAACGCGCGCTATTCAAACGCAAATGTAGAGGAAAGCCATGACAACGCCCACATCAGCTGTTCCACCGCGGCGGTAAAATGTGGGGTGTATTTGCTACCTTTTACCGCTAAGAGGCGCTACAATCATAGACTCTGAAAAGTGTTCGTTTATTCTCTCTAATGCGTAATCTGCTGCTCATTCAGAGCGATTGAAAGCTGGTAGCAGATGAATTCAACAAGTGAAACGTAGTTAAAATAATTCATTACCACAATACTGAAATTAGGCTGAAATACTGAAATGAAATTGAATAAATAATGAAAACATAAAACATTGCAATAAAAACATTTAGGCTACATCAATGAAGCTTTACAAAAGCATAAGACTTTAACTCTAACAGCGTACAAACGGTGGCTCAGTGATCAACGCATCAACACGAGCTTCAGGGAGCTTCAATCGACCCGAGATCGAATCTCAATGTGGCATACATGTTGTTAACCGATGTTGGCCAACAGCGTTTATATTTTACCTTCTTGATGCTTAAATAGCTAACTGTTTATAACTGTTTACTTATTTAAAGTCAAGAGTTTTGTTTAATTATCATTACAACATAAATTTGCTACATTCCAGTAGAACCGCAGCGCTGCACAAAGGACACAAACTGATGAAGGAAGATTGTCAGCCGATTGCATCAGAAAATGAAAATGAAGAAGCTCGTCTTTAGTCTGCTAAATTATTGTGTAATGTAAAAGAACACTAAAATTACTTAAGTTTGAAACCAAGTTCGAACATTTCAAGGTTTAAATAAAGTTTTTTTTTTTATTTAAAACAGGGTTGCATCGGGTTTAGAGTTTATTTCTTTTGCGATGCAAAATAAGAAACACTAGGCTAATATTATTCTTGCGACATTTTAAATTTGTATTGCCAAATAAATGACATTAAACAATTAAAACAGTAGGCCTACAAAACGAAAATTGTCCAAAGCAACATAATTAAATTAAAACATGCGTTTTTCTTTGCCTCTCTCGCGCTGAATCTCTTTTTAACAAGTTTATTTAGTCTCCCTCGCTCTCCATATGAAAGAGGAACATTAACACCTAGGCCTATTGTCCTGCGCGCACAGCACTGAACTGTCCCCCAACCCCCCACAGGCTATCGGAGTCTGAGGCTGATTTAACACAAAGAGAAGTCGTAATTCACACTTAAATCGCTATTCTAGACAGTGTTGATAATGAAGGAATTAAATGATTTAAGTTACATGTAGCCTAGTGAAATTTCTGTCATAAAAGTTTATTACTAAATATTTCATTATTTCAATAATTGATGAAATAAAACTGGTTTGGGCCAGCTTTTTCCAAGCAAAACTAAATATAATCTGAAAAAACGCATGTTCATTTGTTGTCATGAACAAAATGTTCAACTTAATATTAAATTCTACAGGGATCTTTGGATCCTTTCAACCAGGCATGCAATTTGTGAATTAAGTTTTTATTATTTTTTTTATTATTCAAATAAATATCGAACCACGGTGCTTCGTGGTAATGCTGCTAAATTAAATAACATGTAGGCCTATAGAATAATTATGAACTTAAATGAAACAATATCGCAACATTTCGACAAATACATTATTTGATCTGTTTTTACATTTTAATTCAGGGCGATTTAGCCTGCTACATTTCATTAGAGCGAGATTTTCACCCTTGTCATTTTCTCATTGGGAAGCGCTTACATAGGCTACATGTTTGAGTAGATCCTCTGTACCTCTCGTTTTCATATGGATTACATAATCAGATAACATTTATTAGCCTGAATATTTAGACATTTAAAGGCATTAGACAGAGCCGATTTCTTATAGTGACTGAGCTGAAGTGGCTTTCGGTTCATTTTTGTGACGCGCAGTTCCCGGAGACAGAGACGACAGATAAACTTTTGTCGTTAGCAAAAGTTCGAATAAAACCCGATTTTAGAAAAATGCATAGGGCCACTCGGCGTGGTCTGCCAAAACACTTAATTATAAACTTCAATATTTCATTCAAAATAATCTCAAAACGCTTTGTGAAATTTTGAAAAGCCGTGCATGCATTAAGGCCACTTGAACTATGGACAACTGAAACGCTGGTTTTGATTTTATTGTTTATCGTTGTTTAAACGTGCTTGTTCTGTTGCATATCTCTATTTTATATTTGATATGGTCTATTGGTGAAGTAGCCTATAGCATTGATTACTGTGGAGGGAGGGGTGTGGGGATTCAAATAATTCAGCAGAAGCAGGGATGTTTAGACCAGAAGGAAATCCCCGTCCCCCTGGCAAATCACACTTTACTTAAAACCATGTTTTTAAAAACTCTAGGTTGTAGGGAATCAAAAAAAATAATAATAATAGGCCTAATAAAATATATATATATATATATTGGCTATATATATAAAATTACTTTTTTTACAGAACTGCTTTTGAAATTACGATTGGCCTCATACGATTGGTACAGATGCAAAGTCGTTCTGTTGGATACTATTGTTCCTTAGTGTAAAATGGAAATGCATGGTAATTTTATTTTATAAATATAAGCAAAAAACTGTATGGTGTACCAGAGTTTTAGAGCTACACAAATCTCTCTGCATTAATAAATATAAAATTTACAATAGACCATGTTTGTTCGGGATTTGAACCCGTGTCATCTTGATGATCGAACCGTAAGTTCTACCACTCGGCTATGAATTTTCTCACTGAGAAATGCCCAAACGTTTGTTTGTCATGAGCGAGAAAACGTTTTGTCGTTAGCCTGTGAGTGTAGGCCTACTTTAGCCTACATGAATAAAAGTAGACCTTTTACAGTTTTAAAAGATGATATCTTATCTGTATGACCAACAATTACGCAGTAAGTTCTTTTAGCTGTTATGAGAAAAATAAATTCAAATGAACGCGCCGCCGCGTTTGTCAAACTCTAATTCAACATGCCAGAATAAAGCCAGATTTTAGAATAATGCATAGCCACTCGGCGTGGTGTGCCAAAATACCCTAATTATAAACTTCAATATTTCATTCAAAACCATCTCAAAACGCTTTGTGACATTTTAAAAAGCCGTGAATGTATTAAGGCCACTGGAACCCGGATCGTAACTGCAACGCGCTGCATGTCTCAATACAGGAGCAGAAGCGCTGGTTCAGATTGTATTGTTTGTTGTTTAAACGTGCATGTTGCATATTTAAAAATATTTGTTTAAAAATAAATGTTTGTTGTAGGCTTATTTGCAAATTACCATAACTTGTAGAATTTCATCCTTACTGTTAATTGACATTAGCCCCACTTACGTTTTGATAAATGTCCCTTTGCGCCACCTGGCGGTCATTTCGCGAACGACTTTGAAATGCGACTGGTTTATTTTTATTGTATTGGTCTACTTTAAAAAATAATACTTTATAAGACATTTATGGAAAAAGACTATTTTCTTTTCAAGATTCTGTAGAATGGCCCATATAGCATTTGACTAGAATTTGTTTCCAGGTATGACTAAAAATGTGCTTTTGGCTTTCATTTATATTTTGATTGTTTGTATATATATATATATATATATATATATATATATATATATATATATATATATATATATATATATATATATATATGTGTGTGTGTGTGTGTGTATATATATATATATATATATATATATATATATATTTAGGCTATATATATACAAGAAAGAATGCAATGACAATATATATATATATATATATATATATATATATATTGTCCTTGCATTATTTCTTGTGTGACACCCCTGAATGAAAGGCTCATTATTATGTAGGGTCACTGTCTGAGAACCACTTAATATTCATGATAGGGGTTGGGCCGTTCCGCCCATCTGCATATTGCCTTGGCAAACAAAAAAATGTTTTTCACAATTTAAAACAATCTATTGGTTTATGTGAATGATTAGGAAGGATGATTTTCAGATCATTTTGAAGCCAGAACTCGAAGCGTCAACATCCATTTGTCAAAAGTCTTGTGGACACATATTTAGTATTTGTTTTGTGGTCTTATTTCAGCAGCTTTCATTTTAATTTTTTTCAATAACCACGCATAAACAATATTCTCTTAAAAATACAAACAATGTACATACAAGTTGCTCACAGATTATGGTAGCCCTGTTTGTGCTATATAGAGTGAATTTACACCTTTGCCATTAACATGTTTATAAATAACTGAAAAAAGCACAAATGTAAGGGCATCACAGAACATCCAAATGGCCCCAAAAACACCTCAGACCCCAGAGGGTTAAATTGCATACAAACAAAGCATATTAATCCAACACACAAAGTGTGCCTCACAACATTTGATTGACAGAGTCAATCGTTTCCAATACAGCGAGTGAAGACACTGGAATTGGTCTCTCTTCCCAGCAATATCCATCTCTCATTTTGCACTCTGTCACTGTCATCTCTATGCTGAGCTCGTATCTGTCCTTGTACCCCTGAAATAAACAGACTAAACGAGTGTGAATAAAGGTGTTTTTCTTTTAATACCAGAGACTGGTTAAAAACCAACCATTGGAACACAAAAACCGAGTAGCAAAAATATGGCTGTTTCCATCCGTCTGCCATTGGTCAGCCAAACAGATAATCCCACCCCAAATTCCTGCTATTGGTTGAGCCAATGTTGCTGTTGCCCGGGTGATCAAGATGTTCAAACAGTCACACTGTGCTCAGACTTTTTTGGGAAATAAACCTACCAATAACTTATAGTATTTTTCTACATATTAAAGTGGGATGGAAAATATTTTAACATAAAAACTTACTAACATGTAAGTTGTTGAAACTGTTCTGTTTTCACTAGGTAGAACTTGGTCTCCATTTAGTCAATATAGTCATTTTACCCCAAATTATCATAAGTATTTTTTCCTAATGTTTACTCTATCCAGGGTTCCCACACCATGAACAATGCATTTCCATAACTTTTCCATGACATTTCCAATCATTCATAATTACTATTCTTTGGATACTGAAAAAACATGGCCAATATATAAATGTATTTATTTATTACATTTTCAGGACTATTTTTTGTTGTTGGGAGTGTTGTTGGCAGTGGGAACCCTGAATTATGTACACAGTGGCACATTTAAAAAGGTCTGAATTGCATTGAGTTAGAAAATATAAAAATCAAGTGGCACCTGTAACAAATGATAACAAATTCACCTCAAAGTCATTTTTTTTCATTTAAACAAATGGCGTTAAGGTAGAAAATAAAGTGTCCAGATAATTTTTGTCTTCATTTTGAACATTTTATCTTTTGATTTATCATTTGACAAACTTCTATTGTGATAGGCCTATTTATGGTACAGTGTACACTGGGGTGGTACCCTGTACACCTTTGTACCTAAAAAGTGCATATATTAGATTAGTACCTCAAATGTATTGGTACCTAAAGTGTGTATATTATTACCTGAATGGTAGGCTAAATAGTAAAACTTTTTTAAAGGGTACCCTACCTACCATCCCAGAGACAGCTTTTGTGCCATTTTTTCTGACAGTGTTTTTTCTTTCTTTAATATAAAAGTTTTGATGAGACACCGGTCAAAGCAGTTCATGTGGACAGATACACCCAACATTACTCAACAAGACCTCAATTATACGGCAAACAACACCGTGCCTATGACATTTTCTCAAGGGAAAATAAAATCCTAAAAGCACCTCTCTTACCTAACACTGTGCATCTTTATGTGCAGTTAGCAGAGTGAAAAAGCGAGACTGAGGAACACTGCTGGCTTTTCATGTGCCTCCCCCGCCCTCCATCCATGTTTGGGAAGCAGGTGTAAATAAGGCACAACTTTGACGCCAAAGCATCCTGAAATCCTGTGGAAATAAGGGTGGGATAATCATACCCTCTCCCATATTTGTTAAACAGTGACACCGTTATGAATGATGTCGGCGGTTTGCTAACTGAGAGAGTAGTTGTTTGTTTTAGTTCTCTGCGCGATCCCGCTGACTCATTTTAGCGCGCCCCCTGTTGGTCAGGGTAAGAAACTACCCAAATGTCATAAAGAGGACGGGACAAGGATGATTTATTCCAAAACACAAACAGGCCTTGTCTGCCTGTCTACGTGATTTATAGGGTGGTCTGGACATTTGAAATTGCTGTAAGTAAACACATACAGAATACTTGTTGGGGAAAACTATTTATTGGCAAGACATTTGGCTTTTCGGATGACGACGTCTCATATGATAGTAAGATAAGTCATGCATACAAATGTGATACCAGCAGATGGCACTGACTAACTGAGATTTGATTTATTTTTTGCATTAAAATGCTACATAGCTACATAATTCAAGAAATCAAATCATAAAAGCATTTTTTTTAAAGACCCACCACAAACTTCAGGCTTCAACCCTAAAGAGAACATTGTAGAACTATATGCTGAATGAAATGTATAACCACACAAAGCGAGTTAGTTTTAACCTTAATTTTTTTTTTTTAAGTGTAAATCCAAATCAGCACTGGGAATGTAGTTTTGCCACAGTATAATATTTTAGGGGAATTCCAGGACATTTCATTTCAAATCAAGACACAATACAAACATGTTATTATGATTTGAATATCAGTAGTGTAGAAAAAGAAGTACTAAACTGTTTATTGTGGTTTTCACAGAAGTGTTTATACATTTGAAATTAATTGTACAATTTACCAGCGGACTTTGTAGCAATACACGCCATGTTTTAAATGCTTTGGAGGGAAGCCAAAGCTGCGCACACCTGGTTCTGATGTACCACAATTCACCCTGGGTTGGACGATTGGGTAACGTACACTACCGTCAGCCAACCAGCCCGCATCACACTGGTCAAATCCCACAAACCTCCAGGCTGCGTATAACTGGCCAACTTTAGCAATGTGACCTCCATCGTTCTGACAGGCCTCCACCGCTTCAGTGAAATTTAGTTGGATAGGATGATGCAAGAAGTAGACCTCTCCTGAAGTTGAAGAAAGACATAAGGTATTTTCACATCATATTTGGTGACTTATACAAATATGACCTCACCTCAGAATTGAATGCCAATAATTGACCCCAGATAGACTGCAGAAGCAAAATATAACTGGCATATCAAGGCACACCGCTTTAAAATATATGCATGACTCATTAAAAGTCATGGGGAAGAAGCCATTTTATTAATAATCCTTGTTGGCAGGTTGACCCTAAAACAGGAATTTTTTCAGAATGAGCTATGCAGCCACAATTACAATATACTGAGGGGAATTTACTATTAATCATCTTTGTCTGATTTAAAATATAAAACACCTGAAGGAAGGTGCTACGGAAAATTATAAAACATTTATCGTTTAAAGATTCCATGGAAACACATGTAGCCTAAGCCAAGACTGGATAAAGTTATACAATGTTATATAAAAACTCCACTTGTCAGTGTAAATATGCTACAAACATTATTACCTCTAATGGACGAGGTGAAGCAGAAGGCATCAAACCGGTCCAGACTTTTGTCTCGAACGCCATAGCTCCGTACACCAGCTGCCAGGTCGGTGCCGCCACAAGCCTCTCGTGGCACTGAGACAGGATATTGTGCCGTCCCATCAACAAGCCACCCAGCGTTACACCAGTCCAGACCTTCCTGCCAAGCAGCGAAGAGCTGCTCAAAGGTAGCCAGGTGTGCATCTTGCTTCTCGCATGCCTCCTTAGCCTCGTGAAAGTTCATCAGATAGCGCCCCCTTGGGGAGAAGTAGGGGAACACCACACCTGTGGAGCACAAGAGCACAATGCACCACTGAAAAAACTGTACATAGCCTAATTAAAAAAGAATAATATCGCACAAAATAATAAAATAAAATGATATTGTTATAACGCGGACTGAGCTCATGACACACCTCGAAACTTAAGCTGTACAGTCACGCTCTCGTCCTCGAGACCATCAATAATTTCACACCGGTAACGGCCGGTATCGTCGGACTGTATCGGGTTGATGACGAGGGACGCATCGCCTGGGACGTTCCGGCGGAGCCGCACGCGTCCTTTGAAGTCTCCGTAACTCCGGTGACGTGTGCCGATGGCCACCATGACGTCACGTTCCTGCCCTCCGCCGTTTACGGGCAACCAGAACCACTTGACCCGTGTTCTGCGGGGCGCACTGAGCACGGGCTCGTAGCGGTAATGACAGGGCAGCGTGACATTACTGCCCTGAACAGCTGACACAAAAGACTCAGGAGATTCAACGTGAAGACGGATCTTATGGAAGTATACTAAAAAAATAAAGAAAGAAAAAACATTAAATGATTAGGCCTACATATCTATCTATCTATGGCATAAACCATCCTAAATGTAAGCCTATAATAAAAATAAATGTAGCCTAATATATAAGTTCCATTGAATTTAGGCTATAGCAAATGTTTGTTCTGCTTTTTTAAACAATTTTAAATAATAATACTAAATCTTTATAGCTATTTTAGCTTTTGGAACATGGTAGCTGCATGGTTTGTTATTTTGCACACTTGAAAACACGTGAAAATACCAAGAGCAACTCATAAATAAATCAACTTACTCTCCTTATTTACATTGCCATTTCCATTAACAATGTCCTGATAATAATAGCCATTGGAGTATCGCTGTGCAAAGCTTCCGAGGATCAGGTGCACAAGAAAAACCAGCAGATGGCGTACAATCCTCATATTCACGGTGTTCCCCTGTATCCCACAGATTTCCAACAGGGTCCTTACATTTTAAGACAAGCCAAGATGTGTATAAAGATCAGAAATGAGTTCATCAAACAAACCTAACGCAATATATATTTATCTTTTAGTAGCCTACTTTTAAAGTCTGATTTATTTTAAAAAGAATTTGATTTGCTCGCCATAACTGATCGTCATACAGTTAGCCTACAACAAGAACTGCATAATTGCGGCTTAATAGACGATTGCAGAAACAAAAGTAAAAAAGATACAACTAGCTATACATTAAGAGACATAAAAAGTAGTTACCTTTAGTTAAACTTAGTTCACAATAGTCAAACTTAAAGATATTAGCCTACGCATTTAACATACAAAGATTTGAAGTCATAATCGAAGCAGGCGTTATAACATGATGTAGCCTAGTTAAATTCAGCATTCAAAGGATCTGCTGACATGCACATTGATTAAATAATAAAATAATTTTCGCAACTTACCAATGTAAAATACTTTCTCAGGGTCCTTTTGCTACAACTACTCTGTTCATCGTCCGAGGTGAGGGATAATAGCGCTCGCTCGCTCTCTCTTTCTCTCTCTCTCTTCCTCTCTCTGTAATAATATTGTGGAACCGTGAGGTGACGTCACTCAGGCATCTCTTTTGAAGTTCTCCAGCTCGCGAACAATAATTATTGTGGGGTCTACAAAGCAGGCGAGGGCTGCTGCCGTCCATCATCACGGTATAATTTTACAGCATAAGGTGTGTTGATAATTTCCCAAAACTGAAACTGGAGCTTGTGCTCACGGTGCCAGCGAGAATATATTCCACCCATGTCTCTTGTTACGTGGATTTGTCACAAAAAAAAAAAAAAAGAAGAAAAAAAAAATCTTATTGGCCCCAGAGGCTAATGCCTGGCCTAATAACACAGTTGGTAATAATAGTCACATTGTCGCATACCTAGGCTATTTGTTTTTTTTTTACATTCCTAATGCAGTGTTATAAAGTATGCCCTATTAGGTGCAAAAATAACCTTAAAACCTGTACAGTAAAATATATATTTCACAGACATTAACAATAATGAAACAAGCATTGGTGATTTTTGTTGTATTCCTATGAAATTACACACCAGAAGCATGACTGCTGACCTTTGACCGAGGTCTCAAAAAAGATTACCATGGGAAAGTCAGTGGTTGAAATTCCACTTAGCCTCCAAAGTGTGCTGATTTTCCAAAGTCAATAGCAGTGGAAAGTATCCAGCCTTGCAGATGTGAAATTTTCCTCTTACTCGTGACCACCAGGGATTCAAAAGTTTGTTGTTCTCTGTCAGCACACCTCTGTCCAGCAGCCAGTAGTGTTCATCTTTTATCTCTTCCCCTAAATTCTGACCTTTTTTCCTTGTTATTTAGTGCTACAGTTGATGTGAGATCTAAATAGCAAATTTTAAAGAGGAAAGGACTGTTGGGCGGCCTTTGGAGGGACCAGGATGTTGGACTGACAGCATCACTCATTATTGTGACCCCTAAATGTACCACATCGCACCACCCTTATTCAGCGAATTGTCACGGACGAAAAACAGTAACTCAATCCACCTTATTTTTAAAGTAAGAACCACCTTCCAGCTTGATATTTCCAACTGGTATTTTTTATCATATTGATTTAATGTAGGCCTATTGTCATAATTTTAAACACGTTTGTAGTAGCGCAAATTTTGTTATTCTTCTGATGAACGATAAAAACTTTGAGAGCCAATCAAAATCTATCTCTTTTAAAGAACGTGAGCATTTAAAACTGCAGCACGCTTCGGAAAAACAGAACGATATCGTGCGTTGGTGTGGACGCTTATAGTTATCGTTCTTGGTTCGAATGGGCCTTTAGTCAGCATGGCGAATCCGCCCTCACGCGAAACTCCCGATCACCTTTTGGAAAGACTGGGGGTTTGTTTACATGACACAGTTTTTAACTAAAAACTGAAAACTTTGTATGTGTTTTGGCCCTTCATTTACAGGAGGAAGTAGTTTTGGGGGCCTGAAAACAGGTTTCAAAGTGCAAGTTTTTTTAAAAACGATACCGTCATTGTCTCAGTGTGAACTACAAAAACGTGAATTTGTGAAAACAGTGACATCATGCGCATAATGTGTTCAGTCTATAGGCGCATATTATGACATCGCCAATTACTGGCCTGGCATGCACAATACACGTTTTTAGTAGATTTCGAAGATCCGTGTGATATGAGATCGTTTTGACAACATTATCTGTAGGCCTACGTGAAAAAAATGTTTTTTAGTAGGGCCTACATCGTTATCGTGTAAACGTGTCCACCCGAATCTTCACCGTAGAATGGTAAATTGTCCCCGCACTAGTTATTTACCTAAGTAACTAATGAATGAGAAGTCACGCATAGCTTAGATTAAAAAAGTAATTAAGATATAAAAAATAAATAATTAGCTAACTTACGCTTTGCAAAATAATGTGCATATGAATTCATGCAATCGGAAATGTCACTTGAGACAAATTCTCCCCTTTGACCAACAGAAACTCTGTTAACAGGGAACATTCTCAGAAAACGTTCTGGCAAGATTCGCTCAAAGTTATAAACAAAAGTTCTTCCACTAACATTAATAGAATGTTCTTTTGTAGCTAATCATCTGGTCTATAATGTTCTCAAAACATTAGCGCAAAAACATTATTTATATACATTGTTTCCGGGGGAAAAAAATTCCATGACCATTGTAGCAATACGTCTTTTTTCCCCCTTGATACTACTTGTTTCAGAACATCTAGAGAACATTCAAAAAGTAACACCCACAATGTTTACCAAAAGATAACCAAAAAAACAGTTCAGAGAACATTCTGAAATAATCCCAGATAATGCCACATGTACATCTCTAAAATGTCTGCTAAAGAGCGCTTAACCTCGAAAACATCTGTTGTGTACAAACATCTGATAAACATCTTAGAAAAAGCAGTTTGACATACAGTACATTATAAATCATAAACATCTTAAAGACGTTTTCTAAATGTCTATTTGACATCTCTCAGGAAACGTCTTAGAGACATATTGCAGATGTAAATGCAGACATCAAATAGACATCTCTGATAGCTCAGAAGCTTGGTTTGAAAGTGACTTCTGTGTGAGTTTGGTACATCACACTAGTAACGGACGATGGACCTTTTTTCCCCACACCTTAACACCTTAAAAGACGGTGAAAGAGAGGGCGCAGATTTACATCGCCTCTCTCACAGATGCTCAGAACATTAGCGACGCATTTGAAGATCCCCCGTCAATTAGTCCCACAACCAAGATGAAAGCCCTCGCCTAAGGCAAGGAACGCCAAGAGCCTTTGAATAGCTGTGGGCTTCACAGAAGCATGAATTTGGCAGCTATCTTCGGCAAGGACATTGTACTCTAATTGTTTGCCCAAAATGAATAGGTTCAAAATGGTTGGATGTAAATGTTTTAGATTCTCATGACGCACTTGTCAGTCTTAGTTACAACAGCCTGCCGGTGAAAAACTTTCTTCATTTTATTAGAGAAACAGGATATTTAGGTTTTTAAACACCACATCAGACAAATTAAGTTTTTAAATGTTAATAATTACATTGTGCAAATCATTCTAATAAATTCTAAAAATAATTGTGCTGCTCAATGTATTTTTTTTATTATTATTTCATGAATAGAAAGCTCAAAAAGAACATCTATTTGAAATATAAATCTTTTGTAATATTATAAATGCCTTTGTCAGTGTCCTTGCTGAATAAAGCATTAATTTCACATATTTAACAATATGTTGTTGTTTTTTACACGAGGGACACAAATCAGTAGCAGAATCAGTAGCATATACTGTATATCTATTTAGATTACATTTTTTCTTTAAAAGGGAATTTCTTAGGGGTTGTGATCCTTATGAATAATTGCGTTGAGAAGCCTTGAACAATACATGTACGTGCTTCCAAACTGCAAAATGAATATATGCATGTGAATGAAAGGAATTCAGCCACACAGTTTTGTGGGTTTCTGATTTATTTTGGCAGTTTCCATCAAACAAGCTTCCAGTGAAACTCTAGTAATACTTGTGTTTATGCGGATGATTTTGACATTGAGGGTGAATTTAAAAAATGTTGACCCAATTTACAACCCCTCATAAACTTGTCAAGCAATGAGGCGGACGAGGCGAGATTTCCTTTGTAAAGATGTTATTAGAAAGCAAAGAAGGTTTGCTCCTGACAAAATATTTGCCACAATACCTCATTCAAAATAGCTTTGTTTTTCCAGAAAAGAATCCTTCCTGGCTTTGCCCATCGGGTGCTGCTGTTTTCCTGCCATTCTTTAGACTATCACTTGATTCTCTCCTGCCTTCCTGCTTTAAGCCTCTATAGAGCAGCTATTAGTATGTCCCCAGTCAATCATCAAAACACATAATAATGTAATAAAATCCTCAAATCATTTTCTTAAACGGTATTATTGGTAAAATAATTGTATTAATTATTTGTTATATATATCATATTATTAGTGGTCTTATATAATTAAAAATTTTTTTTAAATGTATTAAATTTGTTTTGTGGATATTGGAAGACTTGAGAGAGTTGGGGATTTCCAATAAATGAGTGTGGGGAAAGATTTTACTTTTCTTATTGATAACAGCATGCTCTACGGAGAATTCATAACAAGACACAACATGTTTCAAAAGCCATAAGTATATATTTATATTCTTTATTTCTTTCTACAGTTGAAAACATGAAGAAAATATTTCAAGATATACTAAGGAAATGCATCTAGTCTAAACAATCTGAACACAAGAAGTGCTACAGTATGAGGCATTAAAACATTTTTTGAAAGAGCACACTGAATCAATGCGTCAACTTTCTGAGAAAAACCAAATGCTAACATCGGTACAGAGTCCAAAAGAAAGAAAAAGCATGCAGCCTAGATGCAGAAATCATGCTGGATTATTAGAATATACTTCAGTGTTTGTTACCTTGAATACCACTTCAATTGTTCTCAGAAAATATCTCAGAGAAATACTGCCCATATTTAAAGCTCCATTAA